ACCCTGGGCATAATGTCCAGGTAAAAAGCGATAAAAAACGTCCGAAGCGGCGCTCTGCTGGCCCCAGCCTTGGCCGAAGAACTCCCGCGGGTGGGAGACTGCGACCCGGAGGTGCCGAAAGAATTTTTAGGCGACAGTAGAGGCTACACGATGGCAGCGGTACCGGTTCTTGAAGGCGACCTCGTTCCTTTCTAGTTCTTGGCGCCGCGCGGGTATTCGCGTGCCGTCCTCCAGAAGGGGGACCCCGAGCCCGACTTGGGCGAAGGTTGTGAGGAAGTCGTGCTTCTGCGTGTAGTGAAGGCTTACGTAGGGCTGAGAAGCGGTGGAGGTACATGTACAGCTGACATTGCCAATACCGGCTGAAGTGATTGTTAGGACATTTCCATGGGCACGTGCCAAGCAGGCAAATGGAGCTTCTCTGGCCGGCTACCTTCTCTGGCCAATTAATGCCCTTGAAGTTTTAGGCCGATTTCTACGATTTATTCAGCCTGCAAAAGAAGTCTGGTGGAGACTAGCGATCTCGGGAGACGACTTCGTGGGTTTCATGGTGAATGCTGTACAAGTGGGTTGGAGGCTGGGTCTACAGGTGTGACGGAGATCTCGCACCCCCTGATTTTGCACCCCCCCGGGGCGAGATCACTAGCGATCTCGAACCCCCCGGGGCGAAATCGCTAGCGATCTCGCACCCCCCAACCTAGTGTTTTCGCACCCCCCAAACTAGTGTTTTCGCACCCCCCGGTGATCTCGCACCCCACCGCCAAACATTTTGAAAATTGTTCTGTCTGCCCGGTATATAGTTGAAACTGCATTTTAGTGTGATAAAACCATACTTTAATGTTGTAATCGAGAGTTTTACAAGTTTCCCTGGACTAATGTGACGTATTTCAGCACAGCGCAATAATGGTGACTGTGCCCAATGATTGGTTGCAATAGTGTCCCTTAGTTCCAAGAAGAATGTGTGATTAATTCAACGTTATGTCATTCTTCATTATTGATTTTTTAAAAATCATTTTTAAGACATGACCAATATTTCTCTGCTTAGCACCACACATTTATTTGGTAAGCTGTTCTATGTCATAGATCAAGTGTAATAGATTGACATTCCTGAGGAAGATTTTAAAATTGTCAAAAGTCTTAAATAGGGACAGAAAAAAGACCAACCCACCTACCAAGTATCAAGACAATATATTCAAGCGTTCTTGAGTTATGGTGGTAACAGGCAGACAAACAGACAGACAGACAGACAGACAAACAGACACACCGCCACGAAAACATAACCTTCTTGGCGAAGGTAATTACTGAATATTGGTATTGTCATACTAGAGGATAGTGTTTGTTAATAGGTAGCATCTGATATAGTAACCACTGTGAATTACGAAGGCCGTAACAGAACACATACGGGGTGAACAAATCGATTGAGGGGGTGCAAGATCACCAAAGGGGTGCGAGATCACTAGTGATATCGTTCCGGGGGGTGCGAGATCGCTAGTGATTTCGCTCCGGGGGGTGCGAAATCACTGGGGGTGCGAGATCTCTGTCACACCGGCCTGAAAAACAGCAATTCAGTATTTTTAGCATGAAATTCATCTGTGCTATCCTGCAGCTGGTTGTTTTACCCTGGCTCATCCAATCCCTTGTACCTGGGCAACATTATTCAAGAAAATATCAATTGACCCAATTACAAATACTTAATGTACTTGAACCAACACTTTTTGGTACCAAAGTAAGTACACATACCAAATTTTATAACCCAAGTCTTAACCCGTGCCAGGTGACAAAGTTACCGGATTCGCTTGGTTGGCTTTGGTATCACGAGAAATAGTTGACCCCGGTGTTTCAACGAGTTACGGACAAAAAATTCTCTATTCGAATCCCACTTGTGTTCAGTTTAAGGTTAGCAATTGTAGAGTGGGGTCGAAAAGCCATGCTTATCACGGACAGTGTTTCTTCCCCACTCTTTTAACGTACTTAAAAGTACGTTGTGCCCTATCCAAAGTACACAAACGTCGTGCGAAAATAAATGCGGTCACCACCGACCAATGGTAGTCTTTGCGTGAGTCATGTGACATCAGTCACGTCACCGAAACTACCTTCCGAGAACCAGACAGATCATCGAGTGCGATAGACCCTGGCAGTCTACTGAAGAAGTCTTACTTGGTGACCATATCTATCGTCTCCAAGATCAAAATGGCAAGTAAAATGGCAAGTGACGAGTTTGACGAAGAATTCCTGACGTGTCAAGTCTGTATGCTACACTTCCGGGACCCCAAAATCCTGCCATGTCTGCACACATTTTGTAAGGAGTGTCTCGAAGAATGGGCGACGAAACAACAGCCGCTGGAGTGTCCAATCTGCCGCCTACCGGTCAGTCTACCTGACCAAGGTGTGGACGGACTCAAGACCAACTTCTACGTCAACAACCTGTTGGATTTCGTGGCGGCGAAGAAAGGGGCGGAGCCAGGTGTGCCGTGCCAGGTGTGCGAGGGGAATGTGGAGGGGTCAAAGTCTTGGTGTACAGATTGTGCTGTGTTACTGTGTGAATCTTGTACTGTCATGCACCGCAAGATTCCGGGTACGAGAGACCATGAACTGGTGCCACAAGACGTTATGACGGCAAAAGAGGGCGTGGATAAATTTAATCGCAAACGGCACTGCGACAAGCACAAGAACCAAGAACTTGTGTTCTACTGTGAGAGCTGCCAGGCGTTGGTTTGCACAGGGTGTACCGTAATCGACCACCGGCCGGGCAAAGATCACAATCCAGTAGAAATCGCCACCGTCGCTCAGAAGAAGAGAGAAAAATTACAAGAACTTTTGCGAGAGATAGATCCACGTCAGAAAGAAATACAGGCCTCTATCGAGGAAGTTGACAAGAACATGTCAAATCTAAACCCTTCAAAAGAGGCAGCCACAACTCAAGCTAAAGCATATTTCCGCCAACTTGCTGACCTTCTGGAAAAACGTGAACAGGAGATTTTGAGCAAGATTGACGAGGAGTGCCGCGCCGACGGCAAGGCTCTACAGACAAAGAAGGAAGCGATAGAGTTCGAGTTGGCCGGGCTGACGAGCGCACAAACGTTTTGCCAACAAACTGTAGAACATGGAAGTTACGTGCACGTTCTGGAGGTGGGAAACCAGGTCCAAACAAGGATAGAATCTCTGCTGGCAAAAGAAGTAAACCTGGAGTCCAACTGGAGCGAGTTTCAGTTCATAGAGAACACGGCTGTAGAGGACTTTGCGAATGAAGTTGAAAACCTCGGTGGTTTAGGTTCAGACATCGACGTTTCGAAAGGCCAAGTTGTTGTAAGGCCGGCAGTCGAGGGGTTTCAGTGTGTCGCTGTACTGAAGACAATGGACAAAAAGGGACGTCCGTGTGTCGTAAACAGTAACGCTGTCACAGTGAACATGAAGGACCCGTCTGGAACAAGCCTACCGACGACACTGCAGAAGAGCGGGCACGTGTTAGAAATCTCGTACGTGCCCAAGGTCACGGGTAGTCACAGGTTAGATGTCAAGGTTAACTCTCAACAGGTGGAAGGAAGTCCATATAATATTAAAGTTCAGAGTAGGGACACGCCTGTGTTAACTATCGGACGGCAGGGTAGTGGGGTGGGGGAACTGAACGGGCCGGTAGGGGTCGCGGTTGATAACGAAGACAACATCGCTGTGGTGGAACAGGGGAACAAGCGGGTTCAGGTATTCGATGTAAACACAGGTCAGTCTTTGCGTACCTTCTCAGTTGGTGGTTATTGGTCGTATGGTATTGATGTGGACTCAAATGGAAGATTTTCAGTGACGTTGTGTGATAACAATGGGGTATGTGTAGTCGGATGTTACTCAAAGGAAGGCAAACTTCTGAACACAGTCAAGCCTGGCGGCACGAAATCATATGAGCCACGTGGGATAACCGTTCTGAAGGACGGCCGTATGGTGGTTGTGGATAACTCTCAGAGGTCCTGTCTCCTCCTGCAGCATGACGGGAGCCTCATCCGGGAGATCGGCAAGGGGCAGTTACAGAAACCAACATTCATAGCAGTGGAAGAGTCACGTGGCATGATGTATATCACCGATATGACTGCTAACAAAGTGTTTGTGTTTGACCTTGAGGGGGAGTTCAAGTTCCGTTTTTATGGGAAGGGTCAGGGTGAGGGACAGTTCTCAAGTCCGTCAGGTATAACGTTAGACAAGTCAGGTAACGTCATTGTAGTGAACCATGGTGGCGGCCGTGTACAGGTGTTCAGGCCTGACGGGACGTTCATACGGACTGTGGCCACAGTTCAGGGAAGGCATCCTCTTGGAATAACACTGACTCCTGACGGCTACATAGCTGTAGCTTGTTTCACGGGACAGTGTATAGAAATGTACAGGTACTGCTGATACACAACTGCTCAACTGCATAGTTAACTTCATGGACATGATATGTTTGGAATGTTGAATGTTTTCATTTGATGCTATTCCATTTGTTGATTCATAATACATGTACATGTATGGAACGTCTTTAAATTAGCGTTGTTGTACATGGTAGCTCACTGTTCTATAAAAATGTACAAATATTGTTGATGTGTCATAATCAGCTTCATGGACATGAAGATGTTTTAAAACACTAGCTGTTGAGTGTAATTTTTTATTTGATGCTTTTCCACTTGTTAATTCGTAGTACATTTAGAATTTTGCCAACAAAGAATAGAGGTACTTTGTTACTACATGTACTTATTGTAGTGACTAAAAAGGAGAAAAAAGTGATACAGTCAATCATCCGTTTACAGCCAGTAAAAGGCATAACGTCTAATATAAAGTAAAGTAAGAGGCCAATGTCTGTCACCTCTGTCCCATACCATGTGACTCCATATTATTTGCTATTGCGTGTAATATCGATATCAACAATCGTATTAAAGAATATGTGTACATGCACATTGACGACCAGGTTCTTACTTTTCTGGTTGACATGCTACACTCCTAGGACCGAAAAGTCCGCTTACACCTAAAAAGGAATGTCTTAAATCAATAATGTAACAGAACGATGTCATAACCGTGTGTGTGTGTGTGTGTGTGTGTGTGTGTGTGTGTGTGTGTGTGTGTTTGTGTGATTATAGCTAACAACAACGTTTTCGTAGGTCAGCTAACTACCGCGAAGTTGAAATTGCTACAAATTACAACTACGGAGGGATGGCACACAGGCTGCCGAGCCTCTACGGAACTCCAGAACTCAGTACAGTGCCGACTCATATATATAAAGTGTCGGCTTGCCGTAAAAGTCGCTATGTACTACTACTACAAATACACAATGCCAACTTTGTATTCCTGTGGTTTAGCAGATTTTTTTTTTGGGGGGGGGGGGGTGTTGGATTTTTTTTATTCGCCCGCGCGCACTAGTTTGGGGGTCTTTAGAGGATGTCATCCATAAAATTAAGTCAGTGTGGTATTAAATACTTTATACTCCAAACATAGTATTCCATATATCTGGCCCTGATCCGATAATGGTCCGGATAACTCGGTCACACAGTCACACTACTAATGGCTAATGTTCCTCCAGGCTCGGTCAGGGTTTGAAGAGATCATACATACCTTGAAGGTTAAATGGTCGTGTTTCCCATCATCCCATTGCATGCTGGGAGAACGGGGCACTATGGGTAACGCATGCAATGGTTACCCACTATAAAATTGCTCCGGGGTGCAGAGACTGGAAAAGGGCAAAATATTCAATTTATTTATTAATTTCTGTTTTTTACAGGGTAAAAACACTCAGTGCTAACTGCTTTACAGGCGTGCAGAATAACATAAAGACAATAAACAATGAAATAAACATATTTTGGCACTTCCGTTTTCTAAATGGCACTTATTACCTCCATGAAAATGGAGGTATTGTTTTTGGCTCGTCTGCGTGCGTGTGTGTGTATGTGTGTTTGTGTTTCCGCACATTTGTACCTTCATAACTCCATAACGCATTTATAGATTGTGATGATATTTGGTATGTTGGTAGGTCTTAGGAGGACGAAGGTCAAGGTCAAATATGGGCCTCCTGGTGGATGGCCTTGGTACTGCAGCAGCACTTCCGGAATCTCCTTTGCAGCCAACAGATGTGTCATTGTGTGGCTATCGAGTCAGTGCGCTTGGGACCCGGTTTGATTAATGGGGTTCCCTCAGGGGAATAGGTGACCTATTTCAGGGTTAGGGTTTGTATTAGCTGTGTGTTTGAAAAACTTAGTGTACTGTATACAAAAACTCATATATTTCATGGAGGCGCGTCTGTGTGTGTGTGTGTCTGTCTGTGTGTGTGTCTGTGTGTTTGTGTTTCCGCACATTTGTAGTCAGCATAACTCCATAACGCCTTTATGGATTGTGATGATATTTGGTATGCTGGTAAGTCTTAGGAAGACAAAGGTTAAGGTCAAATATGGGCCTCCTGGTGGATGACCTTGGTACTGCAGCAGAACTTCCGGTTTTTGTATCTTTTGTCCTAAACATGCTATGGTCTTGACTTTTTGGTGACAGATAGCTTTTCCTGTCAGGAATAAGTGGCGTGAGTTTGGTCCCCCTAGCAGCTTGTTTTGGAACTGCAGGAGATTTTCGGGCGAAATCTTTAAAAGCCAATAAGTCCAGATAGGAACAAGGGTATTATCATCATTTTTGGTAGGTAGGTAGCTGAGAGAGAGATGTACATAATTAACTGCAAATTATGCAAATGATGACTTAATTTGCATAATTAATGAGGAAATTCTATAATTACAGTGTTTTACATTATAGTACTTTCATACATGTAATGTATGTAATCTATGGCAGATGGAACATCAACAGATACCAATTATGCAAATGATGACCTAATTTGCATAATTAATGCGAAAATTCTATGACTCCTTAGTGGTAAATGATGGGAATTTCATACTTGGTACATGTGTAAGTTAATCAAAAGTTAACATCATGATGCATTTATTATGTTAATGTGGAGGTAATTTACATAATTAAAGAAGAAATTTACATTTACATGTCAAGCCCATATTTCATGGAGGTATGAGATCTCGGAACTCTTGTTTGCAATGGAGTAGGGCTGATTCAACTTAACTTGTAAAGAAATGACCAGAAAATGTCCTTTTTTATGTTGTCCTATTGTTTCACAATGCAGCTTTAATTTGAAAAACTGATGTAAACGTCACGTCATGGCGGGCTGGGCGCCACCCTGTTGCAGCTATCGGTCTGACAACACTCCACGCATGCCCAGTGAAGCTGCGTGACGTCACACGGCTGTTCGTCCTTGACCTTGCGACACTTGTCCAGACTGGTACAGCCCTTCCGGACAGCCACGAACTGTCCTCCCTGCAGACCTGAAGGACGAATGAAGGGTACGTATCAGGCCACACTGATCTAATTTTATGGATGACATCTGCGCGCGCATTGATTTGGCCTGTTCTCAAAAGATAATCACCTCCGAGGAGACTCTGGCCTGGATGCCATCCTCCGTAGTCCATGGTAGCTAGCGAAAGTAGGGAGTCAAGTCGGCGGTAACTACGGAGGATGGCACCCAGGCTGCCGGAGCTCCACGGAACGTCAGGGCTCAGTACAGCCGCGAAAGGCCAGCACATACCAACTACCACAAATTCACAAACCAATTTTGTATTTCTGTGGTTTAGCAGCGTTTTTTTGGCTGGATTTTTTATTGGCCCGCGCGCACTAGTTAGTTTGGGGGTCTTCAGGGGATGTCATCCATAAAATAAATCAGTGTGACATAGCATGAGGGTTCTGGAACACCAAGGACCGAGTTCTGCCAATTCAGAAGTATCCCAACACACACACATAGAAGCTCCGCCGGGACATTCCGTCTTGCTAGATTCTGGATTCACAACCGGATTTCTTTGCTAGAGGTGCGAAGGAGGCTGTGTATATTCGGGTCTGATTGATTCAAAAATCCTTTTTCCAAAATTAATGAAAAACATTTACAATTCATCAGTCGTAAATGTTAATGTACGAAATGTACGAAATCATGGAATTCTTGTTTGTAGATGAAAATGTCGTTCTCTTACCTCCCTTGATGGCGTAGCAGGTATCAGTGCCCGCCCCACACTTCACCTCCCCGCTCCGGTTACAGATCGCATCAGTGTCTACTGCGTCACAGGAGTAGCACGACAGCGCCTCACCTGCGTGAACAAAGAAACACAAGCATGTTGTACACCTGTACTCTACATGTACGTTTCTTTAGTATACATTAGAGACCTATGTCAACATTTTATATGATAGATATATACGATTCTTTGGTCCATATTGGAGGCATATGTCGTATAAGATAGATACTATATATATATATAATATTCTTTGCTCCATATATTGGACACCTTTGTCGTATATGTAATGATACTTTTGGAGACATATGTCGTACGATGACTAACACTTTGGCACACCTCAAGTCCCACAGAAATGCTGGAGGACCTCAAATGGCCCAGTCTCCAAGCACGACATACATTGTATTGACACATTTGTGTCAAGGGCCTCCAAATCATTCTGAAAAGATGTTTGGCTGGTGACCGCCCCTCCTTTATAAGTGACAGAATGATCGCTTAAACAGGAAGAGGAAGGGGAACAAACAAAACAAAAACAATGCCATATATAATGGACTTCTACTGCCATGATTTTGTAAATAGAAAAAGGCGATATAAAGCCAATAAGTAATACACAGATTTAACAATGCCCAGAATAAAACAAAAATCTGTACAATAGATAGAATTAGAAGAGAAAATTGTGTCTGATAACTGTATGTGTGTCTGCCGTGCTTCGAAACAGCATACGATGACTGGTAGATCTAGCTTGTGTGCCAGATTGTTGCCAGGGGTAATATACAGGCTAGCTTCTCGGCTCCGAAATTTCTACCTAGTCACCCCCTCAGATAGGAGATCCCCAGGTGCTAACCCTGGGATCGGGGCTCGTGGCTTCCCCCAGTGTCGAGCCGGGGCCTGGCATCGAGGCTATGTAAATCATGCCATACACAACTAACGTACATGTACATGTACCTTTACACACGAGCCACGCGACTGCGGCTGCTAGCAGAAGAATTTTCATAACGAAGACGTCCAGAGGGAACAAGGATATTATAACCCGAGAAAAACAGCTCACGGAAACCCAGGCTACCAGATGGAGCAGCTACACCTTATTGAGTCAATAAAATCCTCCCACGTAACGCATGATATAGCTCATGGTCACATGGTGCTATCGCTGCTGCCGACGCAATGTTGGTTTTTAAGGACGTATAGCAACCTTTGACCAACGGTCGTTCACCGGTGACTCACCTTATCATAGAATGTTGTTGCCGCCTACGCCAGTACGGAGTACAAATGTATACCCAAGTTATGTTATTAGGCCAGGTTGACTTGATTATATGGATTGCATCCACTGGAACTGATGCGAGCGTGCGAATAAAAAGTTTAATCCACAAAAATTTGGAACTGCATTCTACGACATTATCATCGTTTCCCAATATTTGTTGCAATTATTTGTTCATTTCGCAGCTGCATGCTTTGTATGATTTACAGTATGGTCGAAACCTTTTTTTGGAAACGGGCGAAAATTAATGAGCGCTTGGATGTCATCCATGTAATGAAGTCAACAATATAGCCTTAAACTGGGCGGCATGTGCATGACGATAAGTTGTTGTTGTTGTCGTTGAAGAGACAATATAATATGTCTGATTACAACAACAACAACAACACACTAGCACGATGATGTGTTCTAGAATGTCTAGTCATGCTGAGGCTTTCTTTCGAAGGGTCTTTGTTGCGTAACCATTGACACTACCCTTTTGTGATTACACAATTCTTTGCTTGTATTCTATGTTGCGTGGTCATTGCCACGTCATAAACTTACAAACAGACAATCGGAAAAAAACACACAACAGGTAAATAATGTTCCGCATAGCATGGCGCAGACCCTCGACTGTCTTCAGGGCAAACAAGCTCAAAGCAGCATCATCCGCTTCCTTCTCTACCAACAATGGATGTAATTCAAACGTCCGTACCTTGCTCAACGACTACTCTCTCCTGGCGTACTATTTCGGCATACGGACCTCGATATTAGACAGGACCAAGCTCACGCCCCGCGAGGCCAGAGTAGCCGTGGACAGGTCTGGATTCTTCTCCTTCGGGATGACAGCCGACCAGGTGGAGATGTTCACCGCCAACGAACCGTGTGAGTACGCAGAACTCATCATCAGTGATCTAGTAGACGACTTGAGAGAGTCTGGCTCTGATGTGGACATCAGGAACGTGAAATACCCCCGCGAAATGCCTTTCAGATTATCAAAGGAAGCGAAGGAATGTCTGCAGTTAGAACTTGACTTGTATCTACATTCAGTCGAGATGCTCACATTCAACGACCTCCTCAAACGATACAGACCATGGCGCGACGAAGAGGAAACTTTCTACGCCGTCGTGCCCCTGTCGCCGAATCTAGACGAACTATTTCAACCAGACGTCTCGATTCTAGACTTTAACCCGAAGAACAGTCCCGGATTTTACACCACCAAGTTGATTTCCGTGGCTAAGAAGTGGGCTCTGGAATTAGAAGAGGTATTCGGGAAGTATCAGGTGGCCGTGGTGGCGCATACTCTTCCACCGGGTTGGAGGGACTCCTTCAACGGGAAGGTTTTTCGGGACGGTAAGTTCGTGGAGTGGCAACGTTTTGTGACGCTGTCTCACGAGGGGAGAAACGACCATCACTATGATTTCGTGGAGGGGCCCTTCCTCAACACCATGAAGTTGCCAGAACACGTCGACCACGCAAAGCAAGACGAAGTTGTGCCGGGAGGACACCAGCTAGCGGCGTTCCACCCAGCACTTCTCAAATTGTTCCTCAACACCGTGACAACATGTGAAGAACCTTGAACTCTGAAGTATAATATTGTAATGATGACGATCTGAAAGCAATTTGTACGATAGCAGGTTTCGGAATACTTTTCTTCGGCATACCTTAACTTGTGTCCGTGAACGTACCTGCACCAGACAAATTTTACCTGCACTACCGTCAAACATTGAGAAAATGTATCATACTAAAACGGTTCACTTTAATTTCTTTTATGCTTCATATATAGGTTACCGTCAATGCGGCCAATTAGAATCAACATACACCTACATCTATATATTTTTATATCCCAGTACATGCAAATTAGGTGCAGGTAGACATCAGAAATACCTTCACAGCCCCAATTTAAGTTACTTGCTATAATTTTGAATAACCTGCATATGCACCCAGTTCCGAGCCTTGGACATCAATGCAAAATTTGACTTAGAAGTATTCATTAAAGAAATATTTGCACATGAATGGCTTTATGTATATCATTATATCACATAACCCGTTTCTGTGGTGGCGGAAGTCGACAAGCGCTTATACTGCGACAATATTAGGTACAGTGGTACAGGTGAAAGGTCAAAGACCACAGCAGGTCAAATCAACGCTCCAAATTTTGTCCTCCCATGTGCGAACACGATTCTAACATACGTCGGAGGAAAACATGACTAATTTGGACAACGGTAGTACTTTGGAGCTGAACCTTGTTTCAGACTCTAACCCTGGAGCTCCCGGCAAAGCGGTAAAACAGGGCCGGGGTTGGAGAGAGGTGGGTAACCGTTAGAATGTGCTGGGGAGGGGAGGGGGGCAAAAGTTTCCTCTCTTTGGAGGAAACACAAAAATATGCCAAAAACTTCGGTGGAAAACCTAACAAAACTGATGTACAAATAACGTAAGTCACCGATTCATCCAGTTATTTTAGCATTGGGTCTAACGTTTATTGATAATAATATACATAATAATGTTTTCCATTCTGTCCAAAGGCATTTGCACTGCTTTAACTGTTAGAAAATTGAAGATGAAATTCCTCCACTTTGTCAAGGAATGCTCTAGTCTACTAGATATGATATTTTACATAACCAGCTATTTACGTTTAGCGTTTCTCCACTCAAGTACAACGGATTTCAAGAGACTCGATGTTACAGATTTGAATATCTGTAAGTGCAAATGCAATAACTTACACAATGCAAAAATATGTAAATATATAACAGACTAATAATATCTATAACCCATAATTAGCCCTACTTGCTTGTAACACTATATCAAAGACTTGCTCGCTCTTGTTGTCATAATAGATTTTAAGTTTTATTCTATACCCTTTTGTGTGTATCTGTGTGTGTGTGTGTGTGTGTGTGTGCGCGCACGTGTGTGTGTGTGTGTGCATGCACGTGTGTGTGTGTGTGTGCTACTAGTATGTTCAATAGTTGTTGCCACACTTTGTACCATGTACAATGGTCATGGTATAATTTAAAAAGTATTAACTTTTTCTTCTTCTGTAATACCCTCCACCTAGAAAAAGAAGAGAAGAAACCAGAAACGAGGGAAATCCGGTACGCGTGTTCACACCACTCCATCAAAACGACGCAAACTAGAGTCAGACTCAGATGACGACGCACCACCAGACTTGTTACAACCTAACCATGGTGTCAAATCACCAGTTAAAGACAGTCCAACGGTTCAGAGGACAGAAAATAAGTCTCCACCTTCCACCTTGTTCAAGAAGAAAGAAGTAAGGTTGTCTCAGTCTAAGAAAAGGGATGTGAAACTTTCTCCAAGTCCAAGAAAAGCTGACTCCACCACGGATCTTGGAGGAAAGTTTCCCCAGGGGAAAGGTGTCATCTCTTCACTTTTCAGATACAACCCAGAGATACCCGTGGTGGCACAGTAAGTTATTGTCTGTGTTCTCTTATGGCTTGTTCTCATTCAAATGTGCAAAATGCTGTCGCCACTCTTTACGTTACTAGTAGATATGAGCCAAAACACAGACCTCATCATTGCTTTCATCACTATCCTACTACACTTAGTATGTTTAACAAAAAATTGTACTGCAACACTAGGTTTGGTTGATTTGGAAGAAATTATACTATATTTATATAATATAGGCACGGTTTAGAGTTTTTAGATGTCCGCACTTATGCTCCCTAGCCACGCTGTGAATTAGCATGAAAGTGATTGGTCATTAATTATCCTGAAGAAGGGGACAGTGATTGTGTTACTGTAAGAATAAAGTTCAACATGTACTAAGGTTGTGGGTTTTTTTTCAGGGAAACAATCCAGGAGACCAAAGAAGAAGTTTTCTCTGCAGACAAGTTTGGGGACATCAACTTACATCCATTCATGGTAGGCTACTACTGTCACTGTATGGATTGTATTCTTATTGTTCTGAATCATATTTCTTGATCTAATGTTATGTTTCATTGTTAGAAGAATATTTAGAATGATTCAGTCTGTAAATATGTATGTTTGTACAATGAGCTCAGAAAAATTACTTTATTTCCATAGATAAAAAATCTTGAGGAAAATCTGAAGGTGACCAAGACAACCAGGTAAGTCATGAGGATCCTTGCATCGCTGCCAAGATGTTGTGCCCTTGGGAAAGGCACTTAACATGACTTTCCTCATCACTCCACCCAGGTGTAAAATGGGTACCTGACTTCGGTTGGGGAGGTAAAAGGCAGTGGAAGGAGAGGGATGGACTCTGTCTTCCAATATACCATTACCTAGACACAGTGGATTAACAACGCACTGCCCCCATAGTCTCAAAAAGGCTATAGGACTACCTTTACTACTCAGGGCTCGAAATTCATTTTTGGGAATAGGTGCACTGGTACACCCAACCTAAAAAATTAGGTGCACAAAATTTTTTCCGGGTGCACCATATAAAACAAAAACTATAGTAATTACAGATCTTAGTGCTCCTCTTCTGAGCTTGAATCTGAAATGGGAGCTAACTTTGAAATGTTAAACAAGTACTACAACAAAGATTTTATTATTTTACTGACACTTAGATGCTAGGAATATCCTGCATACTATTATAATTTGATATGTACAAAAATACATGTACATGTACATGTACCTACAGAAGTATTTGGATGCACCGGTGCACCCACAGAAGAAAATTAGGTGCACAGCTCCAAATTTGGGTGCACTAATTAAGGTGCACATGCACCCAGTATTTCCAGCCCTGCTACTGGACAAGAGAAAAGCTTCACGTCAGTAGAATATGACTGCTTAATAAGAACATAATATATATGGCAACCACCCTTATGTATGCAGTGTTTCAGAAGCCTGATGTGTATGCTAGGCCTTGTCAGAAATAACTTTTTCCAGGTCAAACTATTATTTCTCCCTTCTAGTGTACAGAAGGAGGCCATTCCTGTGTTGTTGCAGGGAAAAGATGCGCTGGTGAAATCTCAGACTGGGTCAGGTAAGGAGATTTCATTTGTTGATCATACTGCAGACTTTTTTCAGCCATTTTTGTTGTGAGTTTCATTCTAGAAACTAGAATAGACTGCATTGTTCATCTTTTACCCTACACCAGGTCCTGTTTTTTTCATATGTTGGGTCGTTTATACACTGACTACAGTTCTGCAGACTTACATGTACCTTTAAAGTACCCAATGCAACCAAATTTTAGGGCTTGAAAAACAGGCTTTTCAAAGTGCTTCAGTGTGTTTTTATATTTGATAAACCATTTTTTTAATCTCATCTCTTTCTTAGGAAAGACCCTTGCCTACAGCATCCCAGTTGTGCAACGTCTACAAGCCAAGAAGCAGAAAATACTGGTAAAGATTGGATACAGGGGCTTTCTTTTACACAACCAAACTAGTGCAGATCACTGGACTTGGATCCGGACTTGTAAGAATGTTTAGGTTCAAGTCCAAAAAAACCTAAAAGTCAAGAACCGAGTCTGGACTTATTACCATAAAAGACCATTTCACATACCCCTTTTCTTTCCAAACCACCTAAAACCTTCCGTAGATTGCAAAAACTTTGCTGCAAAATGAAGAAAACGTTGCCATCGGGCATCGTCAAGTGTCGACCTCCATGTTATGTGGCCAGAGTTTTTCCAAAACAACATTGCAAGGTTGCCAACATGCAATTTTGTATATGCCATGGGTTTAGGTCCAGACTTACAAGTCCGAAACTGAACCTAAACCTCTGGACTTGAATCCGGACTTGAACCTAAATGTGGGTTTAGGTATGCAGCACCAAACCAAACTATTCCTACCTTGCTTTCATGGTGTCTTCAGAGCTTGTAGCCGATGTAGGTGGCACTTTTGCGCACAATTCCAACCTGCACCCAACCTGCACCCAACCTGCACCTAACCTGCACTGGTCCATGTTGCTGGGTATGCATACTTCCTAGATTCTAAGTGGTGCAGGTAAAACTTGTCTGGTGCACTCACTGGTAATTTTCAATATTACCTGCATCATGATATCAGAAAAAAGGATTTTCAATCTTTGTACTGATTTTTGACTTCATAGAGTTGTGCTAGTATCTGAGTGTGCACAAGATGTCTACAGTCAAGAAGCTTTGACCAAAGTACATGTACTTGCATGTTCAATCTTTTCTTTACATTAACACTCAAAACAATCAAAATAAAACAAAACAAAACAAAACAAAACAAAACTAAATTACATATCCATTTATCACTCAATTTAAATGGATTGACTCAAGTGGTCTTACATATATCGTCCAATCCGCTAACTCAGAAGATTTACTTTATATGTACCACATTTAGATAAATATTGTTTGTTACTTATAATACACAAATAATTTCTCTTTCTTCATCTTTGCAGAGATCTGATGGTCCATATGCCATAGTCCTGGTGCCAACAAGAGAGGTAATATGTTTAAAGTGTAAAAAACATTTGTTCCAACACAAAGGGTAAATGTTATCATGTAGAGCTTTCGACCAGTCACTCCGGTCTTCCTCAGTAGACTTCTGAGAAGCCACATGACAAGTCTCACTAGGTCAGTCTACTGAGGAAGACTAGAGTGACTGGTTGAAAGCTCTAGGTGAGAACATTTACTTTTTATGGGTTCACCACACCACGAAGTGGTGGTGAACCCATATTGCTTTTTCTGATGTTTCTTCTCCTCCTTCTCCTTCTCCTTCTCCTCCTTCTTCTCCTGCCATTTTTTAAATGGATTCAGCTTCTTCATTTTAGGGCCTAAGGTCCTGAAATTTGGTATGGAGGTACAGTGGGCAAATACCCCTAGGCGTTTTTTAAATTTTTGTGATACAGGCTTTTAGAATGGTTTTATTTGAGTTTTTTGGCTGTGTTATATCAAATGTATTACTGTGTTAGTGTGCCGTGTTTACCATGAGTCATCACAATGGAATGCAGGGCATCAACCAATAGGCATGCAGCTTTCCTCTATACTTCTTGCTGATTGGCTGTTGGGATTTAACTTGATTAACACCTGCACAGAGCATTTCCACCTGCACAGAGCATTTCTTGCTGATTGGCTGTTGGGATTTAACTTGATTAACACCTGCACAGAGCATTTCCATACTGACAGTATGTCTTTATTCTAGTGTTTTGGTAGGTATTTCAAGCTTTTCTGCTCCAGCATTGGAATGCGGGGCATGAACGTTTTTTTATTTATTTTGAAAATCAACAGTTTGCATTATGCAATTAAAAATCCTAACCAATAAAGTAGGGAATAGCTATCCAACTGTTGTTTTAGTTGTATGTTACTTCATATTATAGTTATATCAATGTAAATCATTGTTTTCCCTTGTGTTTCTCATTCTTTCCCTGCCATGTCGTAAAATGTGGTGAACCCATCGCTGTATTTGCTCCAAAGCAAATATTGGCCTTTCTAGTTACATCTTGAATCTTTGCCTTAAGTGACTGTTATTCAAAGCACACATTCAGTGTCCATGAAATTAGTTGAAAATTGTTTAACAGATGACTGTGCTTCTCCTTATCTCCCTGTAGCTGGCCATACAGACTCATGATGTTATCCAGAAACTAGTCAAGGTAAGAAATGATGTCTCAAACCAATCGGCCCTTCATTTTGCTACATCAATTTGATCAATTGGGTCATGGATTCGCCCGCTTAATTTTTTTTCTGATTTGAAAAAAATGAAGTATTCAGGTTCTAATTCGACTCTAAATGTTCATATTTTTGCCCTAACAGTTGAGGAAAGTCCTTGTCTTCCTAGTTTGTTTTCCACCTTACAATGTAGCAGTTTGATTAAAGGTCCAAACCTTTTTTTTTTAATCATGAACTTGTCTGGTACATGTATGTTGACTTCATGGCTCCTATTGTAACATTTGGGCTATCATAGGATGCCTATCCCTGTTTTTATTTGTCGCTTTATATAAAAGTCTGAGAACCAAGAAATCAAATTGATGTGGCCTTAAGTAATTTATACTCAAGTACAAAACTGCTGTTATCATCAGTTAAGCAATCTTAAATTTTATGTTCAAAGTCATTATAATAATTATGTTCTGTTAACATCATCTGTTGTGTTGAATCGGCAGCCATTTTGTTGGATCGTACCAGGCTGTATCATAGGGGGTGAGAGGAGGAAAGCTGAGAAGGCCAGACTACGGAAGGGCATCAACATCATCGTGGCCACCCCCGGCAGACTAGTGGACCACATCCAGAACACCCAGTCTCTTCAACTGGGCAGGGTGGAATGGCTCATTCTGGATGAAGCAGACAGGTGGGAATGGGATTTTGACATTTATTTATGAAGATTTACTACAGTGCTACAGAATTCTTTCAACTGCAAATTTGAAACACTGCGAAGACCTCCTTTTCCCACCTACCACAAAATATAATCACTGAGAAATACATTAATATATTATAGTTTGTCCTCGTGTAAAGGGTTTCAGCAAGAAAACCATACATGTATGGAAGTTACTGATTTTGACAATGAGAATTAAACTGTTCTCCAACTCAAGGAAATTAACTGAACAGAATTTTTCTACTGAGTCCCTTAATCTTCCTCAGTTTTCTGACCCAAGTGCTGTAGACACAGTTTTTACCCACATTTGACGTCAGCACTGGGGTGGTACGGACCTAGTGATGCATACCTAAACTCAATTTTAGGTTCAGGTCCGGATTCAAGTCCAGAGGTTTAGGTTCAGTTCCAGACTTGTAAGTCTGGACCTATACCCATGACATATACAAAATTGCATGTTGGCAACCTTGCAATGTTGTCTGGGTGAAACTTTGGCCACATAACATGGAGGTCGGTACTTGACGATGCCCGATGGCAATGTTTTCTTCATTTTGCAGCAAAGATTTTGCAATCTACGGACTGTTTTAGGTGGTTTGGAAAGAAAAGGGGTATGTGAAATGGTCTATTATAGTTAGAAGTCCGGACTCGGTTCTTGACCTTTAGGTTTTTTTGGACTTGAACCTTCTTACAAGTCCGGATCCAAGTCCAGTGAACCGGTATGCAGCACTATTCCTGACACACTATGAGACTGAACCTACTGGGAATGTCACAGGATGCTGCTGGGCTAGTTTGTAGGATCTCCAACGAACTTTGACCCAGTGCTGATGTCGCACATTGGGTAAAAATCATATGTCTACAGCAGTCGGGTCAGAAAGCTGATGAAGACCGAGTGATTCGGTTGAAAATTCTGGTGAGTCAATTTCCTTGAGTTGGAGAACAGCTTTATTGTTTATGTATATTGTACCAACTCAGATTAACTTTCATGCTTGATGATTTGTTGTATTCCTTGTCAGGCTGCTGGATATGGGGTTTGAGAAGGACATCCGTGCCATCCTGAGTGGTCTGAATGACAAGAGAGGTTTCACTGTCAGACAGAATGTCCTGCTGTCTGCTACACTGTCAGAAGGTAAAAAGTCTTAAATAAAACTTCATTTTCTTTGAATAGTTTCATCATGGAGTTAACTCCATGGTTTCATCAGGTTAGTAAGACACTGAGTAAAGAGACTCTTTGTACACAACCAAGTCTTTTATTCAGCCGACATTTCGGTGACCGTCTGTCACCTTCCTCAGGGCAATTCTGACTGGTTCACATTGCACTGCAGCACAGGTGTCATTGCTACAGATGCATTCCCAAATGTGAACCAGTCAGAATTGCCCTGAGCAAGGTGACAGATGGTCACCAAAATGTCGGCTGAATAAAAGACTTGGGTACCAGTGTGTACAAAGAGTCTCTTTACTCAAACTTCATTCTTGTTTAACAGCCTCCAGTTTAATTCCGGAATTTCAGTTTAATTCCAGACTAACTCCCATATCTCAGCAACCGTACATCTAGATGGGCTAATATTGTTAACTATTGGTAAAAATGATGTAAGAAATAATCCTTTGGGATTAACCCAATTCTGCAAAATTAAAGTTCCCAGAATTCTGGCTCTAGTTCCAGAGTTCTGGCTCCAGTTCCCAGAATTCTGCAGAATTGGGTTAATCTCCAAGGGGTCCTTGATGGCTGCTACATATCTCTTGCATAATTTTTACTAGTCCTGTAATTTACGATATTAGCTCATCTACATCTAGGTTGCTGAGATATGGGAATTAGTCCAGAATTAAACTGGTTGGCTGCTGTTTCAAGTTAAAACTTTTGTTCCAACACAAAGGATTGTTCACCTACAAATGTAGAGCTTTCGACCAGTCACTCTGGTCCTCCTCACTCGGCCCAGGCTTATGGGAAAGTAGTATGTATTCTATACATATGCCTGTAACTTTTTATAGCTTGGTCATACCGCAACCAAACTTCACACAGTTTTAGTAGTACTTGCATTGAATAAAGGGTCTGTCAGTTTTTCTACACCTGGATTTTGGGTTAGAAATACCTACCTACCTAGTCCCATGACCGACACTGGTCGTCGGGGGGACAAGGCAGATTTTGGCTAAAAAATTGCAGTTTATTTCATGAATTTATGGGCAGGCAGCAATAACACCTTCCATCATTATATTTTACAAGATGAAAGCCAACCCCATACAGGTTATTTTTGAAAAATCGCCCCAGTAAGAAAACATCCAAATTTATGTAAAATAGCCTCGGACAAATTTACATTTGTTTACACAAAGTGAACATGCCCAAATTCAAACATGAATATCAGCCTAGGCCGCCTTAACCCAACTGAGCAGTAGACTGACAAAGTTTTAGATAATGTCTAGATTTTTCTACTTTCTGTATCTAAATGTCAGTGTTACCGAAATAAATCTTACAATGTTTTGAACAGAATGATCTGACTTTTTTGGTTAATGCCATACCTGTCATGCCCCCTTGCAGGAGTTGAGAGACTTGCAGGCATGAGTTTGAACAACCCTGTCAAGATCACAGTTTCTAAAGCCGACATTCCCTCAGAGAAAAAACAGACAAGCTCAGAGGAGGACAAGGGTACAGAGGAGACATTTGTGACACCGGCTGAACTGAAGCAGCACTTTATTCTAGTCCCCAGCAAGTTACGACTGGTGACACTAGCTGCTTTCATTTTGTGGAAATGCAAGGTAGGTCGTACTCTGATCTAAAGCTCCTATCACACATTCAGGACTTTCCCCTACCTTGCCCCTAAACACCAGCCAACCAGGTTTGGCTGACGTTCGGGAGCAGTCTGAATAGATTTAGGCCATGTCTTCCTTCTAATATGAATAGAAACAAATTGGAGTAAAATTTGAGTCAAATTCGACCCCCAAACACACCCTGAACACAAAACTGCTGACTTACATGTACCTCTGATTGATTGGCTGGAGTTCTGTTGACTTACAGCCGAATACCAAACAACCATGGTCAAACCAACCCCTGAATGTTTTAAACATTTACGCCAGCCAACTGTTTCAAAGAGAATGCGTGACAGGGACTTAGTTTAGCTTTCTTACTTAAGCTTTCTCTGAGCATGGACAGCTATGTGTACTGTGTACTGTATGGAAAACGTCCCTAGCATGGGACGTTAAGCTGGGGTCCACTGTTCTTAATGTGCTTGTCGAAAAGAGCTAAGGACAATTTCCCTGGTACAATGAACATGTAAATACATGACATTGTACTAACTAAACTAATACGACCAGTGGGAGATAAGGTCTTCAGTTAGCTAAAACTGAATTAAGATTACTTTTCTTTCCTTTGGTTTTTCAAAGGAAAGCTCATCTGTGTTGGTAGAATCCATAGTTTTATAGAGTTCGAGCTTGTTCCAACACAAAGAAATAACTCACCACACAGTTACACTTGACAAGGTGTGCATTCTAGATACGGAGCAGGACTACTTTGTGAGAGGCGTGAAGGAGGCAGTTTATTATTATTACATCAGGGCCCATCAAGCCTCTCTGAACCGTGATGGTGGGAGATTCCGTCTTCCCGCCACTTTTGATGCACTCCTGACGTCATCACGCTTCTGACTTCCAGAAAGTCAGCGATTGCATCACACATCTGATGAAGGTTGACTGAAAATTTATAGTGAGTTACTTCTTTGTGTTGGAACAAGCTTGAACTCTATAACTTCTTTTGTTTCTGTCCAGTTTGGCAGCCGTGAGAAGATGTTGGTGTTCCTGGCCACACAAGACTCTGTAGACTTCCACCACCTTCTCCTCAACAACATCCTGAATGGTGATGATGATGATGCAGAGTTTGGTGGATCTGACATCACCTTCTCTCGTCTCCATGGCAACATGACACAGCAGGTACGTCATCAGATATTACCTTAATTCCAGGTCATTACACTGTAAATCACTTTTTATTCATGGTAGCAAAATTTTGCAGTCTGAAAAAATTGACATGTTCGTAGTACTACATGTACAATTATATATATATATATTTATTTTATTCACATGGATTTTTGAGCATTAGATAGGAAGCACTTGTATAATTATATACATATATAATTATATGTTATATACATTATATTATATATATGTGTCCGGTGGAAAGCTGCCAACATTCCACCACCAGATGCTCTTCAGAGTCATTGCTAGTCTGTGCAAACCATGCAGGAACTGGTTACATTATCTGTATCTGTATAGCTGGTATAATCGCCTTTCAGTGTAACACACCAGCTTCACAGGCACGCGGCGCGGCGGCAGCTGGCTACATTACACTGATCGACTTGTTACACCTAACCCTTGAACATCTAACTCTAGACTTTGTTTAAAGCCATCTAATGACCATGTCCCTACTGTACTTGGTGACAGCGAGTTCCACTCTGCGATAGTTCTAGGAAAGAATGAATTCTTGAACACCTCAATCCTTGGTTGATAACTGGTTGGTACTTGAAGGCATGGCTATTTCTTGTTCTGTTCTGGGCTGGTATTAGGTAATTAGTACTAGTAATTGGGACGTCCACCGGTTTATTACTAATAGTCATTTTGTACGTGCATATGTTGTGGAATGTTCCAGGAGAGAACTGAAGTATTTCAGCAGTTTCGGGAGGCTAGGAGTGGAGTTCTACTCTGTACGGTAAGTCTGACCCCTATACTCAAATTTTGTTGTTCTTTTGGAATGTATCTCTTGTGCTGTTATTTTGAACCTCATCACAGGTGTGCCTTTACTTAACATAAGTCTTAAGAATAGTAGAAGCTAACATGTGCAAATTATGTTGGGTTGATATTATCACTAACTTGCATTTCAGGATGTTGCTGCTAGGGGTCTCCATTTACCCAAAGTCAGCTGGATTGTACAGGTAGGTGAACTGTGGTGCATGTACATGTATATTCTGATGAGCATGTATTAATGTTTCTCCATGTGCTTCCTCAGTTCACTGCTAGGGGGCACTGTTTCTGATGAATTCCTCTGCTTGCTATCATGCTTCATTCAAAGGCGCCTTTATGTGAAAATACACATGTACTGCGTGCTATAACCACTTAAGCTCCTTATTATCATACAATTTATAAAGAATGATTAAGCCAAAACATACGTGATACTTTCATTTTGTAGCTCTTAGTTATGATCTGCAAAAAAATACTAGAACTGAACCAGCCCCCAGAAAGTAGAAGTCTTAAATCTTTGACTTTGAAAGATGTTTACTCTATGACTGTTGTTTTTTACTTCCTGGTAGAGAAGTATTGTTTTGGGTGGCTGAGTTGTGGGTTTGTTTCTCTGCGTGTCCTAATATCCTTGGTTGCCTGGTGGATGGGAGGTGATTTTGACAGTTGATTGACAGAAAATTGAGGATTCGCAAGCCTTTAAAAACACGATTTCCCACAATTTGAGAGGCAAATCATAGTGTTGAAAGTGGTTGTTATTGGTCCTTTGGATGTTTTGATATCTTTTCTCAAGATTTTTGTCAATTTTGCTCGTTAAAGTTGACGGATCGGTTTAAAGTTTTTCCGTCACACGCCACAAAGTTCTTGCAATTGACGGAAATTGTCAATTTCCATTCTTCGGAAGAGACCATACCATCTTCGGCGGCTAGGTCTCACTACATGTATATCCTGAATGTTATGGACTCCAAGCCTAGTTCTTAACTGTTCAGTTAACTGACATGAATTTGCAAATAAACTTAGTTGTTTCCTTTTGCTAGTACAATACTCCTGGGTCAGCGACTGACTACATCCACCGTGCAGGGCGGACAGGGAGGATCGGTGAGCAGGGTCACACTCTCCTGTTCCTCCTGCCTTCTGAGGTGGAGTTTGTCAAGGTGCTGGCTACAAACAACATCAGGTACTTATTATTATGTTTACTGAAGGAAAACATAATGTTTTTGCCCAGTTTCCTCTTCTTCTTCTCCAAGCACTGACCTCTGACCTGGCCAATGACTGGATTTGTTGATGTCTGTCACCATGGTAACTGGTGTTGGGTTACATAATGTTGCAATCTTATAGTTACTGTAGGAGGGATTTAGACTCCTGTCTTACCACATGCATGAATGTATTTGAGCAAGAATTAACAGAGCAGACCATGTGCGAAGGTAAACATTAAATGCATTTGCCTTGCAAATGTTACCTTAAGTTTTTCTAGTTTCTCTAAGATGTTGACATCTTTAAATTTGTTTCTCTCTCCAATGCAGTATGGATGAAATGGCCATGGATGAGGTACTGAAGACATTATACATCCACTCCAAGGATTCAGGCAAAAAGAAGACAACAAAGGTGAGACAAACTCATTTCCCAAAATGTATTTTCTTTATATGGAGAAACAGGACTGGTACAGTACTGTGATTCACTTTATATTTGCAAAAGTTTGCGGTCTGACAAAAATGGACATGTCCTCTGAGCTACATTTACATGTATATGTTCACAGTGGCGGCAGGTACAGAAAAAAGAAAGTTGGAGAATTATTCGTTAGTGGTATAATGATAAGTTTACAGTAGTTCAGAAGTGACCGCGGAAACGACAAACATAAAAGTACATGTACCACGTATTGCAGTGTTTTATACAGTTGTACAAAATGTACCTACTGTAGTACACAGTCATGCAAATATAACGCCTGTGATATTTACTCATTAAATCATACTGTATTTCGGTAGATGCCACCCATCTTCATAATATTTTGCACGGTATTTCGTGTATTTCTTATATTTTGGTAAACACACCAGACCCTCCTGTATAATACAGCTTCAGACACCAACTTTTAAGACACAAAAGAACAAGACAGTTCTATCAGTCATAAGCAATTCCAATCTACAATGTATTTTCCATCAGACAGCAATGACAGCTTGTTGATGTCTATGTGGAACACCTGGTTCTGTAACACTTCCGACCAATCTCAGGCTTGATAGAATTTCACTGGACTCCATGACAGGTTGATACAGATAATTGTAGGTTAAGGAACAACCACCGGAGATTAAAATAACTACTGATGAGACAGATAGTCATTTAGCAATACGTTCAAGGGATATCTAATGTATCATAATGGTGACACTTCTGAGCAAGTCTTTTTCTTAAAGTGCTTTACTTAAAAAATTTCCGTAGAAAATTCTTTGCTAAGTATTATGATTGATATTCTACAATATCTATCATTGTACAACTCTATTGGACAACCAGTCACTGACGAAAAGTCGTGGGTGTTACTTGAAATGACTGACAGTTTTTAAAACTTATCCTGGCCAGTTGATTCAGTAACATTGTACATGTATATTGTACAACAGTTAAGTTAATGCTTGCAGGACCACTACATTTTTTATACATTTTGTGCGAGGGAGTGAACTACATTATATGACATGAAACAAGGCAATTTGCCTCAAAGTTGATTGATTTGATTTATTAGAATTGTAACAAGCAATGCATGTAGGACACAGGCATGCAGCTATTGCTAGTGTCCTGATCCACACAAAAAACATTACAGAACACGTAATAAGGAATATAATATAATTGTATAAACCCTTAACTAATCACAAATGAAGCAATCTGAAAAGCATCATATCATTCAAATGTATAGAATTTCAAAATAAAACAGCCTAACAACCAATCCATTTCAATAGTCTAGAAAAGTTACTCTTGGAAAGTTATTATTGAAGTCACACTATAAACATATTAAAAAGGGGGCCCACATGCCCTTTTCTGTAGAGCATAATCGGCTGTTTTAATTCTACGTAGAGCGTGGACGGACTGCTCTAATTCAACATATTTGCCGTTTTAATTCCACACAATGCGTTGTAGCCACTTGGAATTTATCTTAAAGCATAATCGAGAGGTTTCCTGAATTCAGTGTAATACGTAGCCTGTTCTCAAAATTCAGCATAGAGCGTTGTCGGGACCCCCCCATGCAGGCCCTCATAAAAAGTTTTACATAAAGGGGGAGGGGGGCACTGCACTACTCAGAAGTTCCTTGACATTAATGTTATTCATAACTTTCTTTGATCCTTTTGTAAGACAATATCAAAGATCATTCCGAAGAACAAAAGTCTTCTGCCCAGGTCATCACCAGCTCAACAGGTGTGACAGTGCATCTTATCTCTGTCATCTTAATTGCAATAAATGGAATTCTTCTGTTTGTTAACGAGGTCTGCTCTCGGTGGCATATCTTAATCATAGGGTAGCCTTACACAGCCCCATTCATCATGTAAGGCCACACCAATTTCATTTGTTGGTTCTCAGATTTTTCAGAAGAAACATGAAGACAGGGCGAAAAAAAATTAAAAGAGGTCTAGGCATCCTATTATAACCCCAAATGCTACGAAATGAGCCTTGAAGTGAACACAAAAGGCTGGATGATTGATGAAGTTTGAACTTTTGATCAAACCATTGCATTGATAGATGGAAAAACTGTACTGTAACAACTAGGAAGAAAAGGACTTTCTTGAACTGTTGGGGGTAAAATATGAGCATTTTTGAGTTGATTCAGAACCAGAATCTTTTTTTTTTTTTTGCAAATCAGAAAAAAAATTAAGAGGTGAATCTGAGAACCAACAAATTAAATTTGTTTGACCTAATCCTAATGTCTGTCTGTATCATCTGTATCAGTGTAGCCAGTATAACCGCTCCTTGGCGTAACACACAGCTTTGCAGGCACGTGGTGCAGCGGCAGCTACAATGTAGCTATGTTATACATGTACCGAACAACTTGTTACACCTAACTCTTGAACATCTAAACCTAAAAAGTTAAAAGCTATCAAGTCAGAGGATGATCCCAGCAGCAACTTCAACTCCACTATATTTCGGTGAAAAAATGACTCATTGAACACCTCAATCCTTGAATGATAACTCTACTTTAAGGCATGGCTATTTCTTGTTCTTTTTTGAGCAGGTAATAGGTACTTGGTCATTTTGTACATCTAATATATCATGCATAGTCTGGACATTTTTCACCTGTCCACCAATGTCTAGATCCACTGTTCTATATTTGTTAGAAAAATTAGGGGATTCTTTCTCACAGTTTACATTTTGTGCTCGAAATCCTTTTTTTTTTTGCACAGGCCATGTTGATTTGATTATATGGATGACATCCTCTCTGGGAACCCCGAAACTGATGCGAGCATGAGAATAAAAAAAAGTTTGGCAAAAAAAAAGTTCATTACGAAATCTACATGGTCTTGAAGGTTGAATAAATATAGAAAAAAAAGTAAATCACAGTATGGTATGGTAAATAATAGACTCTTCATTTCTTCACATTTTCTTCTTTCCCTTTGGAATTGATTTTTGTATTGAGTTTAATAGACATTTTGTGTTAACTTTGTCAAATTACAAACCATACATGCCAAACATTACATTGCATAACTGTAGCTCCAATATACATTTCTATAGTCTGTCTAGAAGTGGGAAAATCAGATACATAAATTTACGTCACCATTTTACACTAACCAGACAAGTATCAAATGGTCTGAAAATTACTGCCTTTGAAATGAATTGGATTAAATACCTGAGTGTCAGTTTTAAAAAGTACATAATTTTATAAACTCAGTCGCATTGTTTCATGTAGTTTTGTGAGACCTGTTTGTCAAGAAGAACTTTCAAGACTTTGAAGTCTTTTTTTCTACAACTGTAATTTATTTTGACATCGCTTTTTGCTTCTATGTTTTGGCCCTCTCTTATCAGAAGAAAGTATTTTGGACAGTATTAAAATACCAAGAGGAGATAACATTTAGTCTAAACAGGGTTGTTTTGATCACGCATGTGGTCCTTTTGTGTCGTCTGTCGCTGCGGTATTTGTGGCAATACTTCAGTCTGCTGATCAAAGACTGATGGCGACCCTCCAGGAAACGCTCGCTAAACACGACACTTTGGGTACGTCCTCGTCCGCCGTCAATCAAATCTAGATCTTCCCATTCACAGATTCCTTGTGCTGAAGCATAGAGTCATGAAAAAACATTGACATTATGACAGTCATACATGTTACATCTTACAGTCATATAAGTTAAGGCCACACCAATCTGACTTGTTGGTTCTCGGATTTTTTCAGCAAATACATGAAGCGACCATGAAAAAAAACATAACCAGGTATCCAATGATTGTCCTCAAAATATGCTATCATAATGTTAGGAGCCATGAAGTCAACATACTGGGCTGATTTGTAGTTCAAACAATGAATTTCAAACCTTAAATCAAACCACTGCATTGATAGATGGAAAAACTGTTACTGTGACAACTTTGAAGAGAAGAGACTTTCTTCAACATGTTTCGGCCAATATGATCAGAAAAAATGAAACCGGGAAATCTGAGTTATCAACAAATTAATTTGGTGTGGCTATAAGCCAGTGGAACAGTCAAGATTATACATTTGTAGATCTTCATCAAAGTATATTGTATAAGGATTACTAATTTGAAAGTTTAAGGTAAATACTCTGTTGTCTGCCCAATTTGTCTGCCATTTTTCTCCCCCAGTCTCCGGGTGGGCACATTTTTCTCATTTTTGGTCTAATCTTCCACCATGAGCCCCCTTTTACGTAGCGACACCTACCCACTCGTGCCGGGGATCGGCGCCACGATACAGATCATATCACGGCCGAGGGAAGCCACTGTGCACGATAATGACAGCACGGCTTGTTTTTGTGTAAACAAAGAATCATCCACGGCTTTGTTTAGTTAATCCCAAACTCTGTTGTGAAGGATTTAGATAATCCAGGGAAGTGAGGTGATAATCCGTCCCGTCGGGATTAACTCAGAGAACAGGTGGATTAGGAAGGATACATTATCTCCAATTTTCCACCTGCTAAGAGGAAGGTAGAGATTTGTCAGACGATTGTGATCCAATTATGCATGTTTAACAGCGTGTCATTGGTCCAAGCTTATCCAGATGTTCTCACCCCTTATTGTAGGCCACACCAGTTTGATTTGTTGGTTCTCAGAGTTTTTCAGAAAAAAATAGGAAGCAACAGGGAAAAAATAAGAGACTAATACAGTACACGTATATCTTCTTACAATCGTACTTCATTTCCTTATCATTCTGTTGTCTATACATCTTTAAGTGTCTTGAAGGGAAAATTGTCTTGGTCATTGTCTTAGCCAAGCCTCAGCATTTCTACCCAGTGTTACCCATGGTATAGTAAGAGGGATCATGGTAGTTTATGTTCACTTACTAGCTGAATTTATTGGGGGATTTTATAGTACAAGCTTGGTGATTTACTGTATGTTAGATTCACCTATTAGAAAATTATTAACTTTTATGATCATGAAAACTTTGTATATTTGACTAAGCATGAATATCAACCACTTAATGTTAACGCTGTGGTTAATTAATATTTACAGACAATGAAAGCTAAAAAATGTACTATTGCAATGTCTAAATTAGTCTAAATACACTATAAAAGTATGACACAGTCTTTGTGGCTGTCTCTACCTGTAAGAATAAATGCTCGCCCTGGGCAGCCCTTTGTGTTGTTGATAGCAGCACAATTTAGGGATTAATTCCTGAGGCAAGGCTTTGTTGAAACCAGGCTGCACATGTCTGGTGCACTCCTTAAACATTTGTCAAGATTGCTAAGAATGACGGCTGAGAAATTAGAGGATTAACAGGGTCCTTATCTCGGCAAAGTGTTCCTGGACTGAATCAGTTTTGTGTCCGCTCTCTTTCTGATGGTTGTGTCATCTTCTAGTCAGAACGTTTACTCTTCCTTAATTCTTCTCTCACTCCTTTTTTCCCATCCTTTTCTCCTTTTGACTTTCTTTTTGTCCTTTGCTCACATTATTTCTTTTCTCCTTAGTAACAATATTTAAGTTGATGTTTGATGTTTTCTATATACATGTATAAAAATAATGAGAATGACGGTACAGTTACTGTATCCAATCTGTATTTAAGCCAGCTACAATTTTTTTCCATCATATGTTTTGATTGACATAACATGAAAGGTTTGAAATCTTAACCCTCTGCTGCAATGTATTTTCTGCATTTTGAAGGGAAAATTTGGCTGGTATACTACGTAAGTTTAGTTTGATGACATCTCTTTTCATATGTTAACACACCAATTTTTGCCCATCAAAGAAGATGGATTGGGCAAAATTTTGGTCAGTCATGAGCATCAATTGAAAGTTCCGTCAAATGACAGAAGGATGGACATTGGCTAAAACACTGATGCCAATCAAAATGCTTGTACAATGAAAAAATTGAGCTACATGCAACTTCCACCAAAACTCCAATAGACATCCAGGTGATGAGATACTGTAACACAAGAAAACAGTTACTCATACAAGCAACATTCGATAGATTTTAAAAATTATCCAGTTGCTTGAGTAACATATTTTAATATGTTACTCAAGCAACTGTTTTCTTGAATGTATACCTACATATGTAGTAGACATCTCACCTCAACTACAGTAGTGGTAGATTCTCACCATAATTCATTTTCCGTGACATTCTCAAAATGGCAATAAGTATGACGTGACCCCCGGCCAACAAAAGAAGAAAGTGTTGGTATTGACACTATCCTTTCATGAGTCTGTAGATAACATCTGCACCACTGATGTTTATCAGTTTGTCTGATACAGCCTTTTGTCCCAGGGCGGCTTCTGAAAAGGGCTTGATTATGAGGAAAACAAGCCATTTGGACGGTCGCAACACCCAAAACACCTGTCATAACCTCATGTTGAAGGTTGGGACTTGGTGTGTCTGAGCACTTCAGATGCAGAAGTGGACTTAACATTCACTGCTTCAGAAAGCTGTGATAAAAAGTGCATTGGGTCTTTTTTTTTTTTAATGTCAGGAACTCTGAATACCATATTATTGTAAATTTGGACAGTTGTTCTAGGCGTATTTGTGTGTGTGTGTGTGTGTGTGTGTGTGTGTGTGTGTGTGTGTGTGTTTCTAACAGCAAAGCAGTATATAATGTTATTATCAGGTATTGTCCTTTTTAGAACAGCCCTGACTGAATATATTTTATTACAACTAAAGTGGTTAAAAGTGAAACCTGTTCTCAATAGGTTACAAAAATGTCGCAAAGTTAAATATATAATATGATTGTCAACTTTTCTTCATGACAACATGTCGAGGATCTAGGAAATTCAATGCAAACTGTACTTTAACTTAAAGGCATCCAATGCAGTTTTCAGGCCTTGGAAACCTGATTTGTAAAACAAAGTCATATATTCTAAGTCACTAAGTCACTTATCTACATACTGAGTTGAAACCACGCTGTCAAAATGTATATTGACCCTCATGGAGCAAAAGTTCTCAAAATTATGATGGAAACTAGTTATTTATTACTGGAAGGGCCCTGACTGATTTTTAGGGTTCCACCCAGAAAATAAAGGACTCATCTTGGGGCTTGTTTCTACAGCTTTAAATACCCAAAGTATGAAATGCTGACTCAAATGTGCTAATGAGTAATGTGAAGCAGTTTGTGTCAATATCACAAAAATTGCCTTATTCAGAAATTTCCCGTTTTGTTGCCCTGAAATTGCATTGGATGCCTTTAAGACTTCTCTAATGCTGAAGACCCATGTGGAACCTCAATGTGTCTTTACTGTCGTTACTCTGACAGAAGTGGTATTTTTATGTTTATACATGTTGTACTTACGTTTTGACTGTTAAAGACCTACATCATCCTGAAAATGTCCGAAGATTGCGGGGAGAATTCCCTGGCAGCGGTGACTGTGAGAAGTGGAGATGTGTGTCAACAAGCACCAAAGCATTCTTGTCCGGTTGATGTTTACATGTATGTTTGCTAAACTTTGGGCATTTGAAGGCATCACTAACTGTGCATCCTCAACAAGTATTGCCAAGTCATGCTTATTCTAATAACGTTATTATACATGTTTCAAAAAGAGAGAAGAGATCCTGTAGTTAGATCCTGTAGATAGAGACGTAGCACACAAATGTAACAATTGCTTATTCTTGTACCCAGGTTATTTAAATCTAGTGCATTTGGCCCATGTAGGGCGTGAATATGCAATAAAGTTTATTGTCATTGTCATTATATTGTCAAAATCGGCAGTTAAAGCTGTCAACAATTTACTAATAGTTTCTTGGTCTCAGAATCTGCCGACTTACTTTTTTCTGATTGAGAAAAAAATCGCTTATAAAACCATCAGATTCTGTATCAAGCCCAAAATGCTCAGATTTACACTTTTTTCTTGTATTTGAGACATAAAGGTGGTGTCTAATTTACTATAATAATTTTATTTAGATTCAGATTCAGGTTACGATTGTGGCACCAAAAGTCTCTTTCCTGAAACATAGACAAGCGGGGTACTAGAAAATGACCTAAAAGTAACTACACTACAGTGTCCGAGATTCCAGACACTGCAAAATAGTCTCAAAGGGCAAAGGAAAGTTCAAGGGCCATAAAATGAGAGCAAGTACAACCCTAAGATATCCCGACATGTATACCACCTACTTGAAGTGCTTTTAAGAAGGAACCTTAAGATGAGTCCATTCACTGATAGTTTCAGGTGTCGGTGATAATGCGTGGTAACACCTACTCAAGTTAAAGTGTGTGAGAGAAGACAAGGGTGTACTCTTAGTCCAGTTTTTAGATGCCATATAACGTTACATGTTCCAGCACGTCGGCAGAATGTACTGTGCCTGCGCAGAACCCTGCATTTTCGCGTTTTTCGTAGGATTTTTGGTCAACGTTGCATCAGAATTTTGACTATGATTGCAGAAGATATCTTTTCCGACACACCATTTGGAAACTACTGTCGAAATGCTAACCTAATATGAGCAAATACAACCTTATATGAGACGTTCTGCTGAAGTGCTACATGTTCCCATTCGAAAGGTGGGCCCCAAAGTGCCTTGGGGGTAAAGAACACGTTATAGGGGTTACTGCAGTTGAAAGAACTACTCGGTTTATTTATTGTTCATGTTACCATGTAAACTTGAAGATGGGTAGGAGCCAACTCTGTTTCAGTAAAGGAACGAAAGTTGTTTCACAAACAACGATCTATTTTGTCAACCTTAGAAATTAGATTGAAGGTTTTCTGTCTGTTAAAAGAAGTCTCCTGTATTTAAAAGCCAGGGAATTTTGAAGCAAGCAATGACTACACTTTTGTCTTGTAGACAATGTCCTAACAGAAGTGTCATCGTTAAAAATTTGTCTTAAAGGCACCCATTGTAATTTTAGGGCGACAAAACTGGATTTTCAAACTCAGTTTTCTAGTCATTTTTTAATACCAGTAAGTTAAATCAACCCTATCCCATATCTGTGAGGCAAAAATGCATTGACACTGATGGAAAATGATTGTTTGTTTCATATCCTAGGCTGGTACTATACATGTATGCACCTATTTATGGGTGGTACCCAAAAATAAAGGGCAAAGCTTATTTCTGGGCTATTTCAAATGCTTCAAGTAAGAAACAATGACGCAAATGTGCAAAGAATTGGAGGTCATTAAGTATAAATGTCAATATCCGACGGGTTTCCTTGTCCAGAATATTTTACGTTCGTCGGTGTCCTAAAATTGTATTGGGTGCCTTTATTAAAACTATTGACATTTTGCACGCTTTCTTGACCAGCCTTCCCAAGCAGAAACGTCAGTAATTGTCTCTGTGCTGTGTCTTCGCCACACAGACCTTTTTCAAAAGTCAATAAACAAACTTTGTCAGAGACATTTAGCCGAATAGTTGGGAGCGCATCAGTCGAGTGGAAACTATGTTGTTTCCTGAGCCATTAGATCGGAATGCTGCGCTATCTCTGCAACCTTCTACATACATACAAGGCTGGCGACACTAGGGCTTTGGTTACTGATGGCACAGGTATGTTTCAGATGCCACAGGTTGATACGTTTGAAAATCAACTGTTGCAAGTCAAGATAAAATGTCTCAAAGATATGTGGCACTAAAGCAAAAAGACTTTGAATCAACTGTCTGCACAGGTTTGTATCAGATGGTACAGTTTGATAATACGTTTGAAAATGAACTGTTGCAAGTCAAGATAAAAAGGTTAATGTCTCAAAGATATGTGGCACTAAAAGTAACAAGCAAAAAGACTTTGAATCAACTGTCTTCACAGGTATGTTTCAGATGGTACAGTTTGATAATACGTTTGAAAATGAACTGTTGCGAGTCAAGATAAAAAGGTTAATGTCTCAAAGATACGTGGTACTAAAAGTAACAAGCAAAAAGACCAACTGTCTTCACAGGTATGTTTGAGATGGTACAGGTTGATACGTTTGAAAATCAACTGTTGTGAGTTAAGATAAAAAGGTTAATGTCTCAAAGATATGTGGCACTAAAAGTAACAAGCAAAAAGACTTTAAATCAACTGTCTGCACACTCAGGTTTGTTTCAGATGTACAGTTTGATAATACATTTGAAAATCAACTGTTGCGGGTCAAGATTAAAATCATGTTAATGTCTCAAAGATACAACTGTATGTGGCAGGTAACACACAAAAAGACTTTGAATGTGTCTTTAAATGTTTGTTTTAAATGGCACGGTTTGAAATGTTTGAGACCCAACTTTTGGAAGTTAAGATAAGGCCACACCAATTTGATTTATTGGTTGTCAGATTTTTTCAGACAAAAATATGAAGTGACAGGGCGAAAAAACAAAATAAAAGACAGACCTAGGCATCATCTGACAATCCCAGATGCTATGATAGGAGCCATGACAAGGAACTTTATAATTCAAACATTCGTCAAGGAATTTTAAACTTTTAATCAAACCAATGCATTGAGAGATGGAAAACCTAACATCAGATCTACAGGAAGACAAGGAGCTTTGTTCAACTGTTGAGGCTGAGCATTTTGGAGTTGATTTAGAACCTGAATCTTTTTTTGCAAATCAGAAAAAATGAAGTGGGGGAAGCTGAGAACCAATCAATTAAATTGTTGAACGAATACAAATCAAAATTAAGTACATAAACTTGGTAAACGTACAATGTATAACAATTACACTGTACCAGGGAAATACATTTCACTCCATATTGTCCGCATGACTATTTTATACATGTACGACACTGTGATATCAAAAAGTCTGTTTCCATGTCATTAGCTCTCATGTTGATATCAAAAGTGCATCTTATACACAGCGTTTTGGATTGTGCTCACAGGTCTGTACTGTTGTGTACCTTTGATTAATGGGTGTGATAGCACCGCCGAGGTCTGGTCGGGGCTTTTCCCCCACCAATCCCCCAACGTTTCACAAACACGCACTGCTGAGTACCACAGGGAAGGCTAGCCTCCGTTGCAGGCTTATAGAACTGGGGGTTTGGTGGTCTTTGGCTGTTTTCTGATCAGCCCAGTTAAAAACGGGGGTACATTGTAATTCAATCAGGCTGGCTACATGTATGTTGTCTATACATGTATGCAATCAGAAAATAGCACATTAAAGGGTGCCCAAAAAAGCTCCCAAAGACCCTGAAGACCCCCAAAACCCCCTGGGTTTTTGACATGCTATGGAGGCTAGAGGAAGGCTTTACCGTCCTAGCTATAGCCTCCACCACGCCTTTCTACTGGACTACAGATCATAGCAGTTGGCAAAAAGGAGAGTAAAATTGGCCGGGCAAGTCAGATTTTGGAAGATTGATGCTTTACGGCCAGTCAAACCCCAAGGCGGTCAAACTCCCCTGGAAAATATTCTCCTATATACATGTATAAAATAGCCAGCATTGTTAGTCTGGAAGAGACTAGTATCTTCCCCTGACAATGGGGAAACATTACATTGTGATTATGTGTTATATATGTAGGTCTGGGCTCATCAAAGGATTTGATAATTCTTCCTGGTTGTTCTCACTAAGTTTTGATGTCCATAGAGTTTTGGTACCCATAGAGTTTTGACACACAAGAAATAGGTGTACTACACCAAATTGAATTTGATTTGTTGGTTCTCGGATTTAAAAAAAAAAGATGAAGCCACAGGGTGCAAAAAAAAATGAAAATAGACCAAGGCATCCTCTGATAGCCTCAAAAGCTACAATAGGAGCCATGTCATCAACATGCTAGGCCCTTTGGTGATTCATACAATGAATTTTGAACTTTTATTTATTAAAGATCTACTGTATTGATTGATGGAAAAATTGTTACAGTAACACCTAGGACGACAAGCTAAGGAGCTTTCTCCAACATATTACTAGTATACAGCATGTTGGCAGAACATACTGCACTTCAGCAGAATATAAGGTCGTGCTTGCGCATATAAGGTTAACAATCCGTCTGTAGTTTCCAAATGTTATGCCGAAAAAAATATCCTCTACAACTTGCAAAATTCTGATGCAACGTTGACCAAAAATCCGACGAAAGCCGTGAAAAATTAGGGTTTTGCGCATGCACAGTACATGTTCTGCCGACGTGCTGTATTATATAGTCTCTAGATCTTGCCTACCTGATGAAATTACTCATGTTACCCTGTACCTGTTTTACTGCCTGAACACAGCATGTGGCCATGGGTTTACCCCGTTCACTCAACTAAAACTTCAATCAGATGATAATTATGTGAGTAAATCACTTGTAACCATGTACCAGTTGGTAATGATACAGATAAAAATTCTTCAGTCTGTGTTCAACTCAATAACAGTTCAAAGAACTTGAGGTACAGTAGATAGGTGCAACCTTTCAATAAAAATTGATTAAACAATACAATGTACATGTATAACAGCACTTTTAACAGTTGTAAGTAAAGTATCAAGTAAGTGTCTATTATACCTCCATGAGTAAAGTAGGTAAGGATTGATTAGACTTGAAGAATTCATTTGATCTTTAGATCGTACATGTAAAGCAATGTAAGGCCACACCAATTTAATTTCTTGGTTAACGGATTCGCCCCGCTTCATTTTTTTCTGATTTGCAAATAAATATAAAAATTCAGAATCAACTGCAAAATGCTCATATTTTGCCATGAACAGTTGAAAACAGTCCTTTTTATCCTAGTTACAGTAACAGTTATTCCATCTTTCAATGCAATGGTATCATTAAAAGTTCAAAATTCATTGTTTAAAGTTTGAACCAGCCTGGTGTGTTGACTTCATGGCTTCTATCGTACCATTTTGGGCCATAATACATTGTAGGATGCCTAGGTCTGTTTTTATTTTATTTTTTTCGCACCCCTGCTCCATTATTTTTCTAGAAAAATCCGTTAACCAAGAAATTGAATTGGTGTGGCCTAATTATTGTTTTAACTCACTTGTATGTGGCCAAAATTCTTTTCTTTGAAAGCCAGATGTAGTAGTCAAGTGGAATGTACTAGACAAGTACATGACATTGTTCCTTTTTGCGTTACTGTTGACTACAAAAAGTTTGTTCTTTGCATAATTTAGATATAATTACCCTGAAATAATAAGAAGTCTCTAAACTATATTCTCAAATCAAATATGCTGCCTCAGAAATGTTGAAGGAAGATTACTGTGATGAGACAAAAAGTGCATGTGTGTACATGTACCGCCATATGAGGAGCATTTGTAACTGTCAGGACAGAGATATCTCTTCTGAAGGCAGGTAATCCATTATCCATTTCTGCAGAAGAATCCCAGAACTGCTGAATGTGGGTCAAGACTCCCTTTTACAGTGATTCACGTTTTGCCTGCAAGTACGGCAAGGCGGAGAAGGAAAGCATCAGTTCATTCAGTTAACTCTTTAAAATTCCATTACCTTTTGCCACCGAGAACGGGGACTAAACCTGTCCCCCTCGGACACAATCTACGATAGCGACGAAACGACGTAAATGGCCGACGCGAGCCGGTAATGGAACGTGGGCCTTTTCGAAAATGGGAGGCAAATGCGGGGTAGTCACGTTTGAGTGCCGTCCCAACAACCCTGGCCCTGGGCGGTTTGTGCGCTCATACAAATCACTCAGTTGCCGAGGCTTTTAGTAAGGAAATTGCGGTGGCACGAATGTCGGCGAGTTTTGGCTGAACGTTTCATATTTGCTGAGATTGCCGCCCGTGGGTATGTTTGTGCTCTTGCCCAGCGAGTTAGGGGGGAAATTGTGTGTGTCTAATTCACTCTGTCCCAGCTCTTTCCTGTCTCACCACAGGCTATACTTATGTTTGTTACATTATTTGCTCGCATTTTGGATTCTCTTTTCGTCCTTGCAAAAGGTCAAAACCGATCGGGATCTCTTCCATTAAACGCTGGATGATTTCCGGCAGGAGTTGTCGATCTAGCCTCGGCGGTCATCCCTGCGTGGCGAAGACGGCGGTTACGGCGCCGTTTCTGCGTCGAATGGGAGAGTCTCCGGCGAGGTCCGTCGTAGTTTGTCTTGCCTGGTGTTTGAAGGAGGCGGCACATTACGACCACTTATCTGATTCCTCAGGGGTGAGCGCACACGTCTCTGCGCGGTTGTCTCCCCATTGTCTGTGACAGTTGGAGAATTCCCGAGGTTGCGAGCTTAAACATTGCTGGCTCCTTTCTTCTCGCCGGCACCTCCCTGTCTGGCGACGTTGCGACTCGGCGGCCAGCCTGCCCCCCTTAGATGTGTAATGAAGCGCGATGGCCTTACATGTACCCTCAACTTTCTGGGCACCTATCTTCCCTCCAGCCAGGCTATTAGACGTCATTAAGCCCGGCTTTAAAATCCTCCCAGTTTATTCATTTGTCTATTTATTTACACACACCATTTGACTGATTACGCCTCGCCTTTATCTCCCAACCTTTGCACAAAGGGAGGGCCCAAGTCCCAACTTGTGTGTTCATAATGTATTGCTGCACTATTGTGTGCAAAGCAGACTTTTGTTTCGGTGCAGTGAAGTGGGGGGAATGAGATACTGTAACAGTCGCAGACTTGAAACAAAGCTAGACAAAGTGTTTTACAACAACAGTTCTCTCACCGACAAGATACCAACCCTCGTTAAGGAAGCCTGCTAGCGTCTTAAGACATACCATTGTAAGATAATTACAACTGTTACTGTACATGATTAGTGGAGTGAAAGTGGTGTCTAAAATGTTTTTACGTTCTGCCATCATTACAATAGTTAGTGGAACATTAAATGCTGTCGCCTTTGTGTCTCTGTTATTTGTATCATTCTACATTACATGTATGTCTGTCAGAGTCTGTCATATTCCCATATATTAGGTGATGATTTTGTTTGATTTCAGAGAACATGGTTGCAGGAATTACAAGTAGCAGTTATATCCTGATTTTCTTTCCAGTCCCCTAGGCCTGGTTACAAATATTTGGTGATTATCATTTTGGTCAGAAACATTACAAGAGGCACTATACATTTACAACAAACAACTATTACACAAGTCATTCAGTCAAATAGACATAATCATGGTATTATAAGGTTTGTGAATACACCAAAATTTCTGATGATTATGAAAAAAATTTACAATTTTCACAGTTGGTAATAAATAATGTCATTGTGCATAATTTGGATTCCAGGTTTCACCAGTTGTCAGACAAGTGCTACATAAATAGCAGGGTGTCAGAACTCTTCAGTCAAATCTGGAGTGATGTACCAATCATAGTAAGCAGGAGGCTTTAGACTTGTATCTACAGAGGGATTTGTTTTCTTCATCTTTCTTTACCACAAGTGGTTTTCAAGGTAATTTCAAAACAGCTGTCATGGGCATGGTGAGTACATGTAGCCACCTGTAACCATTGGCCACCAGTTAGCCCACTTGTTAATTATACCAAAACACAGAGCTTCTATAGGTTCTTTAAGTATTTATAATTGAATGCCTTACTCAAAACTTGGTTGTACATTTTTACAATTTGGTTTTCAATTCTTTTCATTAATTGATTTATTCAGTTAAAGGTCAAACTGCAACAAACCAATGATAAATACGTAACGTTATATCTTGTATCTTCTATGTCTTGCCAAGTGGACAGTGATATGTAAGTTGGTCAAATGGTCAGTTTGTAGAATACTGTATCATAATTTTTTTATGATGATGATTATACAAGAGTGCAGCATACATTGTAACTAGTATCTTTACCGCTTGTTATCATTGAATGTCCACTTGGCTGAAATTTTATCGCAATGTACTTTAACTTTACAATTTTACAATCTTAGTGTCTCAATGACTTGCTGTTACAGTTAGTGTAGTGGATAGTAATTTATATGTACATAATTAATACACTCAGTTGGTCAGATGGTCAGTTTGTACAATATTATTGTCCAGCCAATCATACAAAAGGATGGAGCATACACATGTACATGATTGTAACTAATGGAGGTTGACCACTCGTTATCATTGTCCACTTTTCTTTTACTTTTTACGATCTACCGTCCATTAAAATGTCAATATGTCACAGCCCTGGTCCTAAGTGCTGACCTCTGCAGCCTTTGGGCATGAATTAGGCCATGTTGATTGGATTATATGGATGCCATCCTTGCAGGCATGAATTTTCATATATTTCAAACAAGGTTTTGACCGTACTGTAAATCGTACAAAGCAGCTGCAAAATGAGCAAATATATGCGGCCATAAATTGCAAAAAGAAAAGTTGGAAAAGAATACATGTACCAGTGCCGTAGCATACCAGAATCAATTCCAAAGGAACATAATAAAATGTAAAGAAATTAAAATGAAGAGTCTTTTATTCGCCATACCATACTCCGTGTGTTTAGTCATTTGTTCAACCTTCATGACAGCGTAGATTTCATTATGAAGGCAACATTTGTTTCTGCCAAACTTCTTTTATTGACACGCTCGCATCAGTTTTGGGGTTCCCAGAGGATGTCATCCATATAATCAAATCAACATGGCCTTACATTATAAAAAAGCTTTGATGCTCCAGCATTGTCCACTCAAATATTGTAAATAAGCATCAACATTTCCAAGACCGAGGTTAGCTGACGTCGAACAAAGGGGCGGTAAAAGTCACGTTACGTCAGAAACGACATACGCGGCTTTTATCGGAAACAGCGAAAACAAAATCTCGAGGAAGCAGGGTAGTACAATGTATAACACTCCATCATTCCTGGACAGCTGTACTATAATTAAGGGGGGATGATAAAATATCTGTACTGAAGGAAGCATAATGTGGTTTCCTGCATTGAGATAAAATGGAAAACTCACTGCACGATTCTCCACATGCACACATTTAAGCAGGAGTCTCCTCTGAAAAATGCTGTTCGGAGTACAGTCTTTAAAGTTGTAGTCGGTGCCTCTAGCATTTAATACTGGCTCAAGTTTTAGCTAAATCTTTAATTTAGAGTGTCTGGTCTGTTCTTAAATGCTTATAAGGTGAGTGTTACTTAGTGTGCTTACAAAAATTAATGTAAATGTAAAGTCGAACTATAGTGATAGGGTGTATTGTATCCAACAAGCGTGGCTTTTCTTGCTTTCGTTTAATGTGTTTTTCTATAAATATCGCCTCCTATTCTTTTGAATGTAGCCGTTAAAGTTTTTAGACCTGCCATATTGAAGAATAGGTGGTGCATATGACTTATTGAGGACAGTATGACACTGTGTTTCAAATCATTTTACTCCTGAATGCCATGTTTAATGTACTAGCAGTTTAAGGACTCCTTAGCAATTGTAAAGTATTGTGCATGGTATTTCATAATGCAAATTAAAGTATTTCTTACAGGTGTTATACATTGTAATTGTTTTAGTCACTAAGCCACTTATAATTAAAACTGTACTGTTACACTGTAACCTTAGCTTGAAAAGCTATGATTGTCATAATGTTTAATCTCCAAGTAGAATTTGTTTGGTGGCTGCAAAGACAGTTATATCAAATTGGCTGGTGTAAAAAAAAGATTCCAGTACAAAAAAAAATTCCCGATAATCATGTCTAAAAACATGCCAAAAATAAGCCAAAGCCTACATGTACACTAAGTAAACCTCTACTTAGAGAGTACTGTCATGTATGTTATGATCTGCAACACTGCCAGCAAAAATTTGCAGACTTCCCTTCTGTAATTTGCTTCTATAAGGTCTTTGTTCACTGGTTATTTTGGGGAGTTACAAAATTAATGTAAAATTTGAATGAAGGCATCTTGATGAAATGATTCTAACCTTTTGAGGAATATTATTGACAATAAATCCAACAAAAAGTTTGCTACCCAGCTTTCGATACATGCTCTCTGTCTTCATGAACCCAGTAACTTAAAGATGTCTTGATTCTAACCTGTTTGTTTTCTCCATGTCCAGCCGGGAGCAGCCCAGCAAGCGGTACAAGAAGCAGCCACGTCTCTGCAGATGTCGTTTGAAAACTATGTCCTCTCAGACCAGGACAAACTTGCCATGGCCAGGAAAGGTACATGTACATGTAATAGTTACTAGTGCTCTAGGCCACACTGATTTAATTTCATGGATGTCATTGACATATGCACGGGCATTGATTGTATTGTCTCCTGTTCTACAAAAAAATCACCTCCAACGAGGCTCTGGCCTCTGTAGTCCATGGTACATGTAGCTTAAGTGACAACATGGAGCCTGCGGTAACTACGGAGGACAGCACCCAGGCTGCTGAAGCTCCACAGAACTCCAGAACTCAGTACAGTGCCAACTCATAAATGCTGCAAAAAGCCAGCATGTACTGGCTTGTCATAACAGTTGTTAGGCCACACCAATTCATTTTGTTGGTTCTCAGACATTTTTAGTTCAAAAGATAACATTCAAGCGGACACCATAAAATGAGAGGGCTAGGAAGAAAACGAGAATATGGCTGTATTTACTACTGTATGTAACATAACACTGAGTCCACTGAGTCATCAACCTCAGACTTTGCTTTCATTAGGTTTTTCTAGTTAACCATATTTTCAAAAAATCTGAGAACCAACAAATCAAATTGGTGTGGCCTTATGTAATTGTAATAAATGCAAATTTGCAATTTTATTATTTTTTGGGGTCTGTTGCTTCTGAAAAATTCTGCGTGTCGCCTTACATTTATCTAAGACTTACTTTTTTCTTAACAAAATCAACACGATATATATTTCATTCTGATGCTGATTGCTTCTTTTTTGTACAAATGAAATTAAAGCTTGCCAACTTCTTCCAGCGTACCAATCCTTCATCCGAGCGTACGCCACGTTTCCCTCCACCCTCAAACACATCTTCCACGTGAAGAAGCTCCACCTCGGACACGTCGCCAAAAGTTTTGGTCTGAGGGACGCTCCGGGGGACATCGGGAATCTCGTGGCCGCGTCAAAATCTATAAAAAAGGCAGAGAGTCAAAGGAAAGCCTCCAAGAGTCAGATGTTAAAGGATGTCAGAAAGGGGTGAGTTTGAGTCATATTTCTAGTGCCTTTGTTGCAGAAGCTACCCAATTGGCATATAGTTTGTTACTTTCAAATTAAAGGCATCCAATGCAATTTCAGTGCAGTAAAACTGGATTTAAAGTTTAAGTCAATTTTCTGGTCATAGTATTAGTTCAATCAATCCTGTCCCATAGCATAATTATACCACAGTGACTAGTATACTAAAATCTGTGAGGCAAAAATGCATTGTATTGTGGGTTGGTTCTAGCTATTTATGGGTGGTACCCAAAAATAAAGTGATGCCTCATGTGGCTTATTTTGGGCTATCTCAAACACTTCAAGATAGTCTGAAATGAGGAGAAAATATGCTAAAAAATTCTGTAAATGTCAAAATCAGACAAATTTTGTCATCCAGAATATTTTTTTGGCCATCCTGAAATTGTATTGGATTTTTAAGTACATGTACATGTCTATTTTACAGTAATTACTGCTCTTCTGATTTACATGCCAGGTTCAGACTTGTAAGGGCTATAATGAGCCTTTCCCAATACGTTGACTTCTCCCATATGCCCACTTAAAGAAAATTATGTCACAATCATTGTGGGGATTTCACATTCCAATGGAAACAGCATGTCTTTCTCTATTCATATGGTACATTATTTTGCTTTCTGTTGAATTCCAAGCTTTTTAAGTTTAAAAGAGTCTGTAATTGTTACAACCAGAGTTCTTGCCAGTTTGAAATTTTTTTCATCATCTCAATTTTGTTTGACATCATGGTTGCAAAATTCCTAGGGGGGTCTGTTGGCACGCTCCCCTGGGAAAGTTGACATCTCGACCCTCTGACACGCTATTTCCTGTCTTTTGAGGGGTTAATTTTGCTAGTTAAATGACATCACTCACTCACACACTCACTGTCCGGTTTAACATCTTTTTCCATATTTTTACGGGCCAATTTTTGTCCGTCAAAGATGACAGATTGAGCAAAATATTTGTCCGTCATGAGTGGCAAAATTCCGTCAAAAGACAGAAAGACAGACGCTGACTAGTATTGTGGTTGGCACTGGTTGCAAGTACAGTACGTACTTCATGTTTTAGTAATACTGTGACAGTATTTCACTAGAACCTGTTGTTAGGATGCTCCCCTCAACCCTCCCCTACTCTGTATTCCGCAGCGAGCCAGCGCCGGTGTCCCAGAGCCGCGCTGCTTAATGATTTAGGAGAATGTTTTAATGGTACGAGGGATGAGTGATGGCGGGCGGGCCATCAGAGGCCCCTCTCTCCGTAAATGTTGATTATTGGATAAGAGCGGGAGTCTCGCGAGGACCTAAAGTGGCTGATAGTAATCACAAAGAACGGCAGCAATATGCCGTAAGGATCGCTCAAATCAGCAGTCATCTGTAGCAATATATTTCTGTCGTGGATCATCGCTCACCGAGGACCTCTGAGGTCGGAGCACAGAGATCACTCGCGAGTCCACGCCCTCAAAGGATAGCCGTACGGGGACTATAATTGTCAATCATGGTCGCTAAATAAGTGGCACTCAGACAGCGTGTACGATAACATTTCTGGCAGATTACTGCTTATTGGGGGAAGAAATATTGACGCGACAATCAACCGCCTTTCAGTCGAGGCAAAGCTCGACCTTCCCAAAGCTGTTGCAATCATTCGTATAGACGGTAAGAAAAAAAACGGAGAAGATTAATCGCTGTCACCACTTTTCTACTCTCTGTACTAGAAGTGGCCAATGAGGAACAGTTAGTGGCTATTTATGTATCTGCAGCTGTAATTCTGCACTTATGGCAGAGCTGTCTACGCGAAGCACTCAGCGGGAAAAATACGGGCGTAACTCGGAGAAGTTTAACGGTTGAGAATGCGGCTATTTGCTCGGCGGATGGACGCCATTTGTAACCCAACATTTGCTGTCAGTAGCACCATTCCGAGTCGACTGTTCGTCTTTTTCCCGAGTCGATGTTACGGTTTAATGAAACAAGTGACCTAGTTGATGACTAATCAAGATGGTAGAAGTTGCGGCTTTATCTAATCATGACTTGACGTCCATGTTTTGACAGTTTTGGAGTTGTGATTTGGACGGGAGTCGTCCACAGGTGTTTTCCTGTCACTTACGGTCCGTTTTCATTAGAACTCCCCCTGATTTCCGAGATGATAGGCCAATTACCCCACATCGCCCCCGGTCCCAGCATGATTGCTTTACTAATTTCCCCGCTTTCCGCGTCTTTTTTCGACGCGCCTTGCCCGCGGGCGCGCAGAAAATTTGCTGAGCCAGATGCTCAGTTCATTTGAGCTTCCACTTAACTGTCATGATTGATGCTTTTTCGCCGGCGGCCGGAGAGAAAGTAGAGTATCGATCTCCTCCCGACCAGCTTATTGCGTTTTCTGGCTGGTGCGTGCCGTCCCCCCATGGTGAGAGATAACCATCTCGATGTGCTGTGTGTTTCCTGTTTGCAAATATAAATACAGGCAGACTGCAGTAAGCAATATTCAACTCACACGACTATTATATACATGACATGTATATTATAGTCGTGTGACAGAGGCAGATACAGTATGTATCTGCCTCACAAGAATATAGATGATGACAGTGTAATATCTAAAGGGAAAGCAGTATGTTTACAGACTCATATAGAAAAGGGGGCTATATAGCTACCACACTTTTCCAAGCAGAGTTTTAGGCTTGAGCTTAATAATTTCTGGCATGTTTTTAGGCATTTTTAATTTTATCACTCACAGGCATTTTTTTTTTCAGTCTGGTATCTTTTTGTACATCGGCCCCAAGTGAAAAATTGACCTTGCCAATTTGATACTGTCTTAAAACAAGTTTGCAGCCACCAAAAGATCTGCTGGGAGGGAATCAAACCCAGGCCTCTAGCTTGTGAGCCCAATGCCATAACCACTAGGCCAAAAGGTCCAGAACCTGTTGGACTGGGTCAGTTACTGGCACTTGAACCCCACTGTTCACAACAGATTCCAAATTTCCAGTGTCTTTCATAATGGAAAGTGATTCAGTAGTCTAGCCTTCATCATTAATTTTTGGATAGTTCTAAAACTGGACTTACATGTATATCATAATCAGAGAGATACAAAGTGAGTGAGTGGGCAAATGAACATACATTGTGTATAACTTTATTGCGCAACAATTGTACAGTGTACAAAGTATGGCATCTACTAACGTAAGTAAGTACATGTCAACTACATTTTCATAAGGCTAATCTAATACAAAAGTGGGTGGCATTAGTATGAGATAGGTCTCAACTTATACAATCGTTTCTAATATCCATACAGTCTTTAATATATATCCCTATGTATAGCATGTAGGGGTCGTCACAAGTCAATATGTTTTAAATTTTCATGAACAAAGAAGTGAACGTACCAACTGGGTAACTGAATGATGACTGTCCAAGCAACATGTTTGTTTAAAGTTTAAATGAATTAAAGAGGCATTATGTGATATTTTTGCACCAAAAATTGAAATGTTTTATCTAAAAAGATACTTGTGTGATTGGAATTTACTTGCACTTTTTAACATATATTTTGTGAAATTATCTCACATTTCTGACATTTATGGTTGGCGCTATAAAAAACAGCCCACAGGAGGTGCAATCATTATGTGGTGCCACCAGAAACTATATGTACCAGAGTGTAAACAAACATGGCTGACAGCTGTGTTTGCTGAACTCGTAAGACATCATATTTTGGCACCTCCACTTCTGAATAGCACTTACATGTATTTTCAATCATTATGTAGGATTGATTCAACTTGTTTTGAAAAGACATGACCAGAAAATGTACTTTTCTACAGCCCTAATGTTATATAATGCAGCTTTAAGAGTGCAGATGTCAGGAAGATTTAATACAGTACTGACTCTGAAAATGTTGATGACTGAAGATACCGGTAGGCTGTGAAAATTTACGACTGTTTGTACTAAACGGTGTGGCAGGTGTAGACTAATGATATTTGATGACAGTGTACACATGTTTAGTGTCTTATTACTGTCCAGGTGTGAGCTTTATCACGGTCAACCGTCCCAAGGACACAAACAATTGTTTTTCGCGTTTTCTATTGATTTTGCTTTATGAATACAGGGAAGCTACAATGGCAGACAAAGGTGTGATATAAAGCCAAGGACACTTAATGCTATTGTCTCTTAGAGTGTGAATTAAGTACAGTCATTCAGGTTAGGTGGTTCAAGGACTGGCTCTATTAGGGAACATATGGAGGGGATTTGTCACTGTCAGTTAGCTTGTTGAATTAGCCTCTACCAGGCTTTGGAAAGCAGCTGGAAAGAGTAGAAATAGGCCAAATAGACAGATACATTTGTATGCCAGGGGAGTTGGTCCACGCTAAGAGAGTACAGCTTGAAATACTGGGTGCATGTGCACCTTAGTGCACCCAAAATGGGAGATGTGCACCCAATTTTTTTCTGTGGGTGCACTGCTGCACCTAAATATTTTTGTAGGTATTTTTGTATATATCAAATGCATAATATTATGTAGGATATTCTTGGCATCTAAGTGTCAAAAAATAATAAAATCTTTTATGTACCGTAGTACTTGTTTAAGATTTTGAAGTTAGCTCCCATTTCAAGCTCAGAAGAGAGGAGCAGTAAAATCTGTAATTAAGTTTTGTTTTATATGGCGCACCCAGTGCACCTATCCCAAAAATGAATTTTGAGCCCTGGAATAGTTTTGCAGACCAACTCCCCTGGCATAACATCTTAGTGTCTATTTGGTCAATTTCTACTCTTTCCAGCCACTTCCCAAAGCCTGCTAGAGGCTACTGTTGAAATCTGTTTGATAGAATGTGATACGTATACATTCACACCACTTGATCACTTGCAATCTGGCATGGACAATTTTTCTTATAAGGCCACACCAATTTAATTTGTTGGTTCTCGGATTTTTTCAGAAAAAATATGAAGCGACAGGGCGAAAAAAAATAAAAATAAAAACAGGTCAAGGCATCCTATTATAGGCTTAAATGCTACAAAATGAGCCATGAAGTCAACACAAAAGGCTGGGTTAAAATTTAAACATTGAATTTTGAACTTTTAATCAAACCACTGCAATGATGGGAAAACTGTAACAACTAGGAAGAAAAGGACTTTCCTCAACTGTTGGGGGGCAAAACATGAGCATTTTTCAGTTGATTCAGGACCAGAATCAATTTTTTTTTTTTTTGCAAATCAGAAAAAAACGAAGAGGCGAATCCGAGAACCAACAAATTAAATTGGTGTGGCCTAACCAAGGTTTAGGAAGGTTTTTTTTCCTGTCTTAATGTCTATATGGGAGAAGATATAATGAGCACATTAAGTAACCAGCTCAAGTCAAAGGATGAGCAAGATAGGAAATGTTTAAGGTTTGATAGGATGAGACCATCGCAGTGTCATCTACATTTTGTAGTACCCCTTTTTAACTTGATTGATGAGTTCTATATTGACTGTGTACATGTATTTAGATCATTGCATCTACCTGCTGTTAGATTCAATAAACCATTAAAGGGGCACTGTGTAACTTTTTTTGGACCAAATATGTTAATAATTCAATAAAGAAAATCTTTCTGTATGTGCACTGATTACAAATTATTTACTTCCACTTTTCAACATATTTCTGCAATTATCTCACATACATGTGGTGGCGTCGTGTGGTATAGTGGTAGGGCTTTCGGCCCGGGACCCGGGGGCCCTGGGTTCAAATCCACCTACTACATACCCCGATGTTGTGCCCTTGGGAAAGGCACTTAACACACATTTCCTCATACAGCCAGTCTCTGAAAGCTGTCAAAAACTTTAGAGTTTGACGTTAGGAAGGGCATCCTGTCAGTAAAAACCTTGCTTCAAAAAAAAGTCTTGCACAGGCTTGCTGTTGTGCACCTCAGCATGCTGAGGGGCAAAATGACAAGCCCAAACATGCACCTGTGCAAGCACGTCTATACCCCCGATTCGGGGAATCAATAGACGTAAAAAAACTCGGATAAGAGAGAGAGAAGAGAGACATGTATTTGACATTTATGGTTGGCACTACAATAGATCAGCCCACATGCACTTAATTTATGGTGCCACCATAAACTGCCAGAATTGTATAGAAACATGGCTGTGTGTTCCAGATTTTAAGCACACTGTGAAGGCATCATATTTTGGTACCTTCACTTGCTAAATGGCACTTACATTTTGTACATGTATTTGCAATGGAGCATTGTGGATTCAACTTACTTCATCAATGAAATTAGTACCTGAAAATTCACTTTTTATTTCATCCTAATGTTACATAATGCAGCTTTAACAACCCTTTGTCTTTTAAAATCAAAGTGATCAGTACTTTATATGTGTAAATAATACAAATTTGTAATATATAGTCTGGTGTCATTGACCCAGAATAACTCCCAGGATAATTGTTTCTGAATTGGACGAACCTTGACAAACATTATTCCCTTGGGAGTCGCAGGATTGACAAGTGTTTTTCTGCCCTGGTGGTGACAATGACATCCTACTTACCATCTGTTGTGTTGAACAATGGCCATGGGGATTGTCTAACTGCACTGCTTTTCCATAATTGTCAGCCCATTATCTGACACACAAAATAAAATCATTATTTACTTGGTAAATGGCAGTAGTTGGAAAATTGAGCTCTGGTTGTTTGAGAATCAATGTCAAACAGAAGGTTTCAGGGACTAGAGACAAAAAGAATTTCATTACAGTTATTACTTAAAGTCACACTTTTTTTGTGGTACTTTATACTGACGGTTTTCATGGTCACTTCATTACCGTGAACAAGTACATGTAATTTGCTAACTTTCTTTTTCCTATGCCTGTCACCACCAAATTTGAATGTATAGTTCCGCAAATGTGTCCTTTTTTCTCAGACCACAAAGTTTTGCAACCATGAACATAAGAGTGATTTTACAGTACAAAAAGTTTTGAAGACATGGCTTTGTAATAACTGACAATAGGCATTAAAAGATAGGAAATTGTGGTTTAAATTTACAAATTTTAACTAGAGACTGCCTATAAATTATAATAGAGGGATTTGCCAGATGATTTGTTAAAGAGTAGTGCATTGATACAATCATTCAAAACTGTAATTCATGAAT